TGAAAATCTGATAACAATATGAACCTACATATTGGAGGTGCATGCCCATGATGAAAAATATAACATCATAATTATGTGAATAATTAGACCATCTTACAAGAAAAGTGGTGTTTCAGAAAACAAGTACAATTTATAAGAAATGAACATGAGCACTTGCCGTATCTGTTTCAATGAGGTTTTCAGGATCTTCATAATCCTCCATATCAGGTATGTCTTCCTCCGCCTCACCACCAAAATAAGCAGGGATAGACCTGATAGCCGCACCTTTGCTTATCTCCAGAGACTCCATGGAAGGCAATCCTTCCACCTCAGAACTCTTGGTCTCTAAGAACTCAAATTTTCAAGTTCCGGGACGGAAATTACAAATTAAGGACCATGCCCAATTCCAATAAATGAATCTCTCTCACCTTTTGGCATTCCGTGAGTGGCCAACCAGCCATCACCGTCATCATCATCATCGTTACCAAGAAGAAATTCCCCTCCTGCAGCATCGTATTCCTCTTCCATCGAACTAGCCCTCCTTAGACAAGGCACTAGGGGCGAACCAGAGTAAACAAAGCTAATTATTGATCGATCGAACAAAAAGTGCTAGAATTCCATCTTTCTAGTTGAATAGCACGAAATATGGTCACTGATCTTGAAAAAAGGGCAAAAGGAAGGATCTTTAATTTGACTAATCAGAAAACTTCAACAAGATGGCCAACAAAGGGCCGCCATACCATTCCTCGTTATCAGATATTGCTTGTCATCGGGCAAGTATGATTTCCTCTTGCTCGTTTCGCCTGCCTCCCTAACAAAACCAAGCCTAGTTGTAAGAAACCGAATCGAAAAGGAGAGATATGGAGACGAGGGAGAAGAGGGCCAACCAAGACCAGGTGGGGCATTTGGCAACGAGGTTGTCGCCGGCGAGGACGAACTCGGAGACGCTGAGGACGCCCTTCTCCTTGAAGGCGGAGACAGTGCGGGGCCCCGTGATCCGCTCCACCGTCCCCTTGAAAGCCTCGTGCAGCCTCTGCGTCAGCACCATCCTCTCTCTCTACCTTCCTTTCCCCCCTCGTTCCCTTCTCGCGGCGAGCAGAGGACAGAGGAAACGGAGAGGAGACACCAAAGGCAACAGCGACGAGATCAGAGACCGATCCAATTAGGTTTCCAAGGATCGATTTCGATGGATCCCGTGTATCGTGTGCTTCTGTCTTGGACGAGAGAGAGAGAGAGAGAGGGGTAGGGATGTACGATCAAGTTTGACGTGGAAGAGAAGTTATACCACCAAATTATACGACTTTGATTGGACTCCAATCTAACGGTCCGCAGATTTCGCCCGACCCATTTGTTTTACCCGTTTACTGACCACCCATGACAAGTCTATTAGCTCCGAACCCGAATGTATAAAATCTTAATAGATTTTACAGCTCATATTTTCAATCAATGATATCTTAATAAGATTCAATGTAAATTCTCTTTCTTACCCTAATATGGTCACAAAGGGAGAGTTAGAATCTTTCAAGAATTTTATCGACTACTTAAAATACCTCGTGGATTCTACAGAATCACCGAAACCATTATCACTTTCCATTCAAAAAATTTAATAGACAATTTCTTGTGGATTCTTTAGAATCATCGAAATAATTATCACTTTCGCAATCACAAGACTCCAATCTTTTCCCTTTGGTGAAAAAGCAAATAACGAGAAAAAAAAACTTGATTAGTGTTTAGTTGAGCTTAGATGCTTTGCAATCACCAATGTCAAACATAGTCAATTTACTGCTTACAAAGGGGTCATCGGATAGATACGCATGTTGTATCTATAGATACGCATCACCATAGAATGTATGTATCTCATGTTTTGAGTCATGTACGATGTTAACAAGTCCATCACTAGTATCAATGCTTGTTCTCATCATTATTTGAGGATAAATAAACGATTAGTTCAATGAACCAATCAATTCAAAGAGCATAGCGAAGAGATTATTAATGACATAAATTGCTGGAGATTGAAGAAAGAATCGAAATATCTTACCAGGGAGAAACTGAGAAAGGAGCATGTTGGGCACATAAGCCACATCTCAGAAGCTGTCTGTCCAATACTTATGCAGGCCTCGATGCTGAGATAAAAAAAAAAAAGATGAAGCGAAGCAAATAAAAATAATGAAAAAAAAAAGATAAACTCAATTCCTAGAACTGTCATACTACAGAATAGGGATTTAGTCACATATTATTTTATATCCAAACTTGGACAACTATATCAGTAATTGAACAACCTGTCAATTCAAGCATTATGCAACAGAACACAATTTAATATTGTTGACACATCCCTGCTACAGGTGAAATTTATCTCTGAACAGAACACCAAGGCTATTAAGCTATTGAAGTATAGAATGCAGCAGGGGCAGGCATATTGCTACTAGAGAAATTTATTGTTGGGCACATTGTACACGTGGAGCCGCATCTTCATCTTCATCATAGGCTTCCTGCTGCCGCTGCAGGCGCTGTCGCCTCATCTCCTCTTCGATGTTAACATCATACATGGTAGTCTCCTCACACTCGTCTAATTCCATGTTTGAGATGTGGTTGCTTGGCCTTGGTGGCAGAATTTTCTCCAGAGAACGACATTGATCAGGAGAAAACACTCCTGTCTCAGGAAATTCAACATTGAACTGGATATAAAGGCGACCCTTCATGAATGGCCTCCCATGATGAGGCATTCCTTCATCATCAATTGCTTTATATTGACCTAATTGGAGAGAGAAAATGAAACTTTAGACCACAGAACGAAGTGATAGACTACCTTAAGACAGCTGAAAAAGAATTAGCAAGAGGAAATTATAATCAACATAAATAAAAGATGTGTACCGGGCTTGATGACTTCGCCTGGACTTGACTTAATAAGTAACTGTCTGCCATCAAGATGGGTCAGAACAAACTGAAATCCGCAAAGTGCCTCTGTCAGACTAAGTGTCCGATCCACATAGAGGTCATCATACTTCCTTTTGAATTTTGGATGCTCCTTATGTTGTAGGACAAAAACTATATCTCCTGTCACTGTATCCGGCTGCCAAAGAAAAAAGCAGGCATTGAATACAGAAGCATCAATGTAATGTTTATGTTAGGAACAACTTGGATATTCAGATATTAGTCAACACAACTCCCCACAAGCACAAATGCAACAGTGCCAAGAAGGATAATCCGAATGTAATACCAGAGACACTGTAATGCATTTTTATTTTACATTGCCTGGCAAAAAACATACATGTAGATGGGAGAACGCACACAAGCATGGAATTTTTTAAGGAAACAACCTAAATCGACAAGAAGTTCAAAGCTAAACAAAGTAAATTACTAGAGGCACATGATTTTTTTCTTACAGCTTCATCAGCTTCTCCTGCAAATACAATCTTCTGACCATGTTGCATTCCCTTCTCAACATGAACCTCCAAGACCTTCTTTTCCTGCATAACTTTGTTCCCTTTACAATGTGGGCATTTGTCCTTATCGCTGATGACCTCACCTAAAAATTATTTACAATTTACTCAGAACAAAAACAAATGCTTATGGTAGAGCATATTTGTCCATGGGTATGTATATGTAATTATGTACATGTATAGGTATATGTATATATATATACATATATATACATATATATACACATATATATACACATATATACATATATATACACATATATATATATATATATACACATATATATACATATATATACACATATATATACATATATATACACATATATATATATATATAGATGAGAGAGAAAATTCTATAGCACCTGAGCCTCTGCATTCAGGGCAAACGTGCTGCATCTGCTGGATCATGCCTAGTCCAATTTGTCTAGTTACAGTCCTCATTCCTGTACCTTGACATCCATAACATCTCCCTGAAGCTCCACTCTTTGAACCTTTTCTGAAATAATCAACAAGCTTACAGATGAACTAAACAAAAGACAAAAATAGATTCATGGAAAACATAAAACAAAGTGCATCTCATTCTTCTAGGTAATATAATGATCATATTTGGGAATAAACTGAATCCATAGAATTTAAAATCTTGAATGGTCCCAATTCTTTGTAGAAACTAACCATGCAGCCAATATATATGCTAAGACATATGAATAAAATATGCATTGCTGCTTCCCACCAAGAAGAAGCAAATAAAAGAAAGATCAGACCAAAGTGAAGTTACACTCCACATGTACTCGACATAGTTCTACCTAATCATTCACACCCATCTCCATATTGTCTGAATGAACAACTGTTAATTTCTAAAGCATTATATCACAACATTATTGGAAATAAACATGATTAATATTACCACTGGTATGTTAGAATCTTTTTGAGAAACTCGATGCCAGATCAAATCAGATCCAGTAAATGCCTATTCATGTTTGTACAATATTTGGAAAATTATGCCATTGATTCAAGATGAGCATCAGTAGCAGTCGCACTCAAAGTTAAGGGCTAAAGCTATCAACACTCAAGTTAGCTGGGTATAGTCAGATACATTATGTAATTCTTAGGATCACCTGAACCCAAAGTGGGTTGGCTGATCTGATCCGGGATTAGCTATAGAGATTCTATAAAATCGTTCAAAGTGATAGGGATAGCTGATTTTTTTTCAATCTCAAGTGATCTGTGATCTGCTGGGAAGAAAAGAAGGAAAAGAAGATGAGAAGAAAATTAGGAAGAGTAAAAGATGAGACTTGCAGTACAAACTACAAAGAGAATAAAGTTGTCATTAATTGATCCTGAAAATTCATCCAGGTCAGTAAAGAGGTTGAGAAGACAGTAGTGAGGTCATGAACAGGTTACATAGTCTGTTCCTATCCTGTGAAAGGTCAGGTTGTGTAGAGAAGGACACACAAGTCAAGGAGAGGTTCACCACTCTATCCTGTGAAAGGAGGGGAGGAACTTCTTGAGGAAACCATCTTCTATTCATAAGAAAAAAGGAGAGAAGTGGCTATATCACAAGACATGAAAAAAAACGAAAGGACAAAAAAACTAGTGTTCACAATTCATTTCATGCTGACAACTCAATGGAGAAGATCCTAGATTTAAGGAACTGACATAAACCCCTATTTCTGATGCACAAATTTTGTAGTATATAACATTGACATATAAACCTCTATTCATGTGTAAATGAAAAATTCTTGGATGACTTCTAAATCCAAATTTGATAACTTAGACCAACTTGCAACCAGCAAAATTGCCATGACCACAACTATAAATGCTTTCTTTCTCATCCGTACTTTTGTGAAAGAGTTGTAAATCAGTGCTCTTAGATGATTTCAGATTTTTGGGAGCTTTAAGCCATTATGATTTGCGTATGTATGGTTGGTGCAGGTACAATGCCAAATCTAAGTCCTATTTTGGTTTCATCTGTATAACAAGACATTGTTGCATTCAGGGTTTCAATTCCAAAATTGTCTTCTCTGCTTGAAAGGGTCTTCTATACATTATACACAGTCCTCCCCTCAGTTTTAATACCCTTCAGTTTTTATTTGCAATGAAGGATGGACATAATGAATGTTGTTTTCTTCTCTCAGTTGTAATATGCTACTGATTTGTGTAAGTTTCATGATCAATGACATGACACCAACTCATAACTGTAGTTCAAGATGTCTCACAAAATGCATCTCTCTTCCATTGACTATCCTTTTATCTTACCTTCTGGTCGTCACTTTTCATATTTCTTTTTATTTAACTTCACTATGGAATCCAATTCTATGCTCCGAGTATTTCTGTCACTAACCTAGTTATTACCACTTAGCTCTTGTCATTTATATTTAGATATGTCATACAAGATTTTCCCAACACATTCTATGTTTCATCAATTATGTGGAAACTTCAAAGATCAATAGTATCTTCAAAATTAAGCATCAAAATTCATTTCAGTCCTTTGAATCCTGATACCTGGATTGTGCAGTACCTTCCCAATCTTAGTTGACCAGAAGATCAATCTTCATTTCAGCTTCAAGAATTTTTCATATCTTAAATAACAAAATCTTGTTGTGCAAGATCAAACAGTTTTCTTAGGAGTAATTCCATTCAAAAATGCCAAACCGAGTCACTGTTGCCATGTTTATAAGAGGTCAAGATGAGATCAATACTTAAAGTCAAAAGAAAGATAACAGCAACAATCCAATATGACCAACAAATTGCATTAAAAATTCCACTACAACAGAGCCGTTAAACCCATTGTTAAACATTTAAGCACAACAACCAAGTTCAAAAAACCCACTCATTGACCACTTCAATTTAGCACAACACTATAAAAAGCAAAAGTGCGGTGGTTGTAAATTGTAATCTCCATGCAATATCCTAGTCAAATGCCACAATACATTTCTAAGCAGAGCCATTAACTTGGCAACAAGGAATCCTAGATGCCGTTGGCAAATCACAAAAATCCATAAATACATGCAAATATCACTAACATATGAGTTATAAAATATATAAGAACACAAAGAGCTTTTTTTTTTCCCATCCTAATGTGCAAAATAACAAGGTGTTCAACTGTTTGACTGTTGAACTTTTCAAGAACATTTTTTTGATATCCTTGCTCCTTGCAAGATAAAAAGATCAACAAAAGAAGACTGTTTTCTGACTTGAATCACACCAAAATTATGTGAAGCATATGTTGAATTACACCACGGATAAAATCATGGATCACAAAATTCTCAATTAGAGATCAGATTATGAAAAAGAAAGAAAGAAGTTTCAGGACAGGATGACTAGACAAATTAAACAGACACACGGAATAACCAAAAGACACATGTATAGTCCGGTGTTTTTTAGGAGAAACAGCCTCAATTCATGAACATAACTTTAGCTAGAATATGGTTTACTTGCTGATATAGGTACATGCATTAACAAGTATAATATAACTTCCCTTTACAACCAAAATATTTAAAAAATATTGTTCAATTCTTTAAGAAAGGCAAGATGCTACCCATTTATAGCTTCAAGTGCCAAAATTTACCTTAATTTTCAAAATCTAACAAGAAGATTGATTGCATGCCTTACAGGCCACATAATAACAAATGTCTTGTTCTCAATGATCATAATTGAGTTAGATGATTGCTTGAGGGATTATATCATCAATAACATGGAAATAGATATTGTGATGCTAAATAATCTTGGTCCTAGAACTTCATTGAGGACATGTAATCTTTGCCGATTATTGTATTTTGTTCAAATTTCAAAGGTGCCAGAGCAGTGAAGCATCAAGGTTCTTGAAGCTTGGACAAAGCACTGATGATAGCACATGCCTTAGTTAACAAAGGCACACAACGTAAAACAAATCCATAGAGTAACTGGAGGAGCTTGTCAGGATTCCATGGTAAGTAATTTGTTATGTAGGCATCAACCTCTCTGTTACTCTTGTTTAGATTCTCTTTCTTTGAATTTTCCTTTTTCTTTTCCCCTAAGCCCAACTCTGAAGCCAGCAAAATGTTATAACATAATCCAAATACTTGGTCTTCATTTCCTTTTCAGTGAAGGGTGATCTCCCCAAAATAACAAAACTTTTTCCTCTTAGGCATTTGGCTTTCTGGAAAGGTTAGACACTTAACAGGCACATCAATGAAGCTAGTGAGCTTCAAGTGAGCTCGTATACTTTTTAGATGATGAACATGCATTGATTTTGCTAAAACTTAACAATACTCATTGCTACTCCAGCAAAATTAAAAATATGAACCACATAGATTCAGAGAATGAGTATGATGTACAACTAAGAAGCATGAACACATTGGGCGGTCGATAGTTAGTATAAAGGTGAAGCAATTACATTGGCTAAATCAATAGCACTTAATACTAATATCAAGCTTTGAATAAAAAAGCAAATACAATTGGCAGTTGATTTCCCATTAAACTAATAAGCATCACGGACAGTTCTCAGACAAAATATGACAAAATTGCCGATGCATACCCTTTGCACTTTTGGCATAAGGCATTTCTTGACAGTGAAAGCTTTTTCGATGTCCCATTGTACAGGTCTTCCAAAGACACCTTTAAGGAATGAACTACATCTTCACCTCGTTTTTGCCTACGACCTCTTGAACTGCCACCTTCAGGCCAAATACATCTAATAAATTTATCATCCATAAATCACATAGCAAAGTAAAAGGAGTTGCAAAAAAATTTTCCTCACCACCAAAACTGCCACCACCGAAACTGCTACCACCGAAGAACTGCTCAAATATTTCAAATGGATTGTGGAAACTTCCACCACCGCCTCCTCCTATTCCCTCTTTAAGTGCATCTTCCCCATATTTATCATAAATTTCTCTCTTTTCAGGATCACTAAGAACTTCGTATGCTTGAGCCAATTCCTTAAACTGATCCAATGCATTAATAACGAGATATTAAGTCCGAGAGAACAAGAAGGCATATTAAGCAAAAAACTACGAATGGTCTCTTGAAAACACCAACAGTACTACCGTGAACAGAAACAGAAGACAAAAGAATCACTTAGAGATTTTGATAAAAAAAAGGCTCACCTTCTCAGGATCTCCACCCTTATCCGGGTGGTTCCTTATGGCGGCCTTCCTATAGGCTTTCTTCAGCTCATCCTGGCTTGCGCTCTTGGGAACCCCAAGAATCTCGTAGTACTTGGTGTTGTCGCTCTTCCTCTGGGCACGCGCAAACATGATTGCCGATCTCTAGAAGCCTCTCGCTCTCAAACTCCTCAGTTTCCCTAACAAAGCACAAGCGCTGGGCGAATCAAGAAAATAATCTTACAAAACGAACCACGAACCCATTTTCCTCCCAAATGACCACAAATAACACAAATCTTTACAGGAACCAGAACCTCTCATACAGATCCCGGAACAAAACTGATTTCGAACCACATAAATTAGAGTGAAGACAGGAAATCGAAGTTGAAAGTTACTTGGAATCAGATCGGAAACGAAACCCTTGCCTGATGCAGATGGGGGAACCGATCGGAGGCGGTGGAGGACGGGCGGGGGAGAATTCACTACAAAGCGATATCGAGGAGAGAGAGAGAAGGGGCGCGTCTCGTCCGCTTCGATCCTTTTAGGTAGCCGCCTCACTCGGTGGGGCTCACTGGTCCACGAGATCTGGACCGTCCATCACACTGATCCTGCCGTGGATGCTACCCCGATGAAGGAATCGTCCGCCGGCCCGTGGTATTTGACCGACTTGCGCTTGTGGGCCACACCGGAATTGGCACAAGAAAGTAGGCCCCAGCTGGGCTTGGGCCCACAAATTAAGTTGGAAGGTCGAGTCTTCGTCATGTATGGCTCAATCAAAATCACATCCAACAGATTTAGTCGGATGATGATATATCCGATTTATTTATCTCAATATGAAGATATTTATTAATATTCAATAGAAAAAGAAGACTAATCATTTGAGGTGACGTGTTATCGGCGAGGGAAAACCAGATTTGAATGTTGACTTCATTTTACAGGCTTTGTCGGCATATGTTGACTCGGAAACATCCCCTCCAACCTGCGGAAGCAACGCATCTGAGCACAGTAATTTCACTGCCATGCTCGAATCGCCTCCTAAGCTTCACTGACATCCTATAAAAACCAAGGCTCTATGGTCACCATGAAGCCCATAACCTTAACCTTTTCCTTCTCTTTCTCTCTCGCTCTCGCTCGCTGGCTTGCTTGGCCACCTTCGTTCGACAGCCATGGCGGGATCGAATTGTGATCCTGTTACACTCAGGAAGCTCTTCCACTCGGGGGAAATAGATTTCTACTGCCGACTCGTTCGACAGTTGGACCAGAACCCGGAGCGCATGAAACAGGTGATTGCACTGTGGTTATGGTTTGAATCCATCGGCCACCATGAATTCATCCAGCGAGTGTCGTCCCTTAAAGGCGACGACGTCATCCTCGGCTTCGTGAGCGAGGCCGAGGCCTGCCTCGACCGCCTCATGGGCCACCATGTGCAGACGAGGGGCGACGAGCTGCCGCTGACCAGTTCCCTCATGGCGAAGAAGATGGACCTTCGGTTCTTCGAGTCCCACCGCGATAAGGCCATCGAAGGCGTCATGCACTTCTTCCACAGCGTCTGCCAGATCATATTCAACGATGAGCCCATGGAGAGGGCGGCGGAGAATGCCAACCACCCCAACGACCACTGCCGGCACACCAGCGGGCTGCACGATATCAGGTCACCGATGAGGGAGAGACGCAACCAAGAGGAAGGCGGAGCCTCGACCTCGGCCATGGCCATGATCCCACCGCAGTTTTCCACTGTCCCCTCGCCGCTGCGCGACATGCTGAACCCGATGGCCAGGCCGTGGACGCCGGAGATCGTCCGGCCGTCGGATGACCAGCGATCCTTGTTCATCACCTTCTCCATGGGGCAACACATCTCCAGGGAGGAAATCAAGCAGTACTTCAACGCGTAAGTCGAGATCCAGCGATGGCTTCTATGCACGAACACTTTGTTGCATCCGGAATCTGACATGAACAGGTCTGCTTGGTGGCAGGCGATACGGGCCTTGTGTCGAGGTGGTGTTAACAGAGAGGACGCCGCCGGGGCACCAGCCGATGTTCGGGCGGTTGATCTTCACGGATGCTTCCATGGTAGCTAGGGTTCTGAACGGGCTGCCAACAGCCAAGTTCATCATCAACGGCAAGCATCTGTGGGCGAGGATGTACACGCCTTTCCAGACTAGGGTTTGAAGGTAAGGGTGACTAATGCTTCCAAATGAAAGAAGCAAGTTTAGACTAGCTTTAATTGCATGTATATGTAAGCATAAAGTCTATAATTATGTTATATTTGAAATACGAAAATAACTTATATGTCAAGATTGAAATCAAGTGTATAGATCTAATTATTACAATATGTACCTTTTGATGCCATCTCTTCAGAAATCTTATTTGATCTACCAAGCATCGTCTATGATCCAAGATTGCTGCAGTCACCATCACCGTCTGCAAGGACCTAATTAGTTATTATATCTGAATGAAACCCAATTAGTTATTATATTATATATCTTATTCAATTATAAGAGGATCATAACATCTAACAGTATTTGATATGCACACATAAGCATATGTGAGCATATGAACACACTAACATACGAGCGTAGATGCAAACATGTAAATGCAAGCATACACAGGCATATTAATATACTTGGGCTACACTAGTGTGAGTGATGATGGATCCTTGTAAAGTTCATCTTTATATTTGATTAATAAATATTTATATTAATGCCTACTTGTCGTAGTTTAAGTCTCTCCCATAACACTTAGCTTAACATTTGATTAGTTTCTCAAATGTATTAATTAATTTCATAATAAATGATGAGATTCAATACTTTTGAGTCTTTAGTGATGCCCTTGTTGTTATGCAGAGGGTAGAGGCATTGAGGTTGGTGAAGAAGTTGAAGAGGATGCCAAGGGAAGGAGGCACCAGAGGAGAAGTTGGAGAGGTCGGAGTGATGATCGACATGATGGATTGCAAGAGCCTTACCTCTAAGATCATATTTATGAAATCTATCATCGATCCTATAGTTTGAAAAATATTTTATGTAGTTTGCTCATTTCTCTCTCTCTCTCTCTCTCTCTCTCTCTCTCTCTCTCTATCGATGTTGGAGGCTTTTATCTCCATGGCTTTGACTTTCTTTGGATAGATGGGTGTTGGTTGTTTGACTTTTTTACTAATATATCATCTATATAAGCTTTCATATTTCGTTCAATTTGATCTCTTGAATATTTTATTAATTATTTCTTGATAAGTTGTCCTAAAATTTTTTAGTCTAAATGGCATAACCTCATTATCTTTGAATGTCATTTTGATCTAATTATATCTTAAAAATATATCCACAAATATCAAAAAATTATAGTCAATAGTGATATTAATTAATTGGTTAATTACCTATCCTTTTGACAAATTAATTAAAGAAAAACGTTCGTGAGCTGATTAAGATAATAAACTTTGCCAATGAAATTAACAATTAAGAAATTATTGACTTCTTCTAAAATATTTGATTGTCAATTTGGGGAAATTGTCTTGACTTTGATTGAACTTGATGGTAGTTAGGGTTGATGTTGAGATGATGTTAAGTCATAATTCGATCGCATACCACTTAGGTACTAGGCAAAGATTTTTAAGTTATATTATAGCTTACTTTTCTTATTATCAAGTTAGGTGGCTCTTTTCTTGATGGTTTGATTAAGTTGAGTTAGTCGAGAAGCACTTCAATTAATGGCTCTCCCATTTTAAGAAACGAGAAATTCTTAAGACAAATTCTTCTAGGAGTTAAACTATTAGACCAATAGAGTTGTCTTCTTAATAAGCAACACAAATGTCAAGTAATATTGTCTCGACTCTCATGGATTACTTTTGATTTTATTATTTCTCTAATAGTATGAGAACTTTATCGTAGTATATTGACATCCTAGTGCATAGTTGATTAAGTGTCAATATTGCCTGATGATAATATTATAAAGGGATGTGATATCCAATATAAAAAGTAACATATAGGTTCATCGTATTAAGGGGCATGACCAAACCATAAAACATGATAGAGGATATCAGTCGTAAATCTTTATGGCTCAAATAAATCTTCTAGAAGGAAGGCATTATAGTAGAGGATATCAAGATAACACATTAAGAATTTGGACTAAGACTACTAATGTATCATCGTGATTAGTATATATGTTTGGTCTCCTCCTCCTTTTTCTTATTTTGCATCCCCTAATACTCTATATCTCTTAGTTGATATTTCTCTAACATAAGATTTATGAATGATTCTACTATTCTCTTATACAATCAAATATTATGAGTACATCTTAGATGCACATGAAATCCTCCAATAATTGAGTTACCGATTGTGATAACCCAGTCTAATTAACTTATCGATCTATTGCTTTTAATCAATAATAATTCATTTTATCTCTTAGGTTAAAGAAGAATGTTATATTTAATTTTTATGAAGACCAATTCTCTCCTTAGTTCAATAGATGCTGAAGGAAAATCTTTTCTCAACGATTCATAAAATTATATCAAGTGGTAGTCATCTTCCTATTTGTTCTTCTAAATTTTAATTTATGATAATATCCTTTCAAAGCTCAAACATGAAATATAACATTGCAATTGATCTTTATTAGTTGTCCCTTAATGTATAATATTAAAATTTAAATTGTTATTATGCTCAATTCAAAATTATTAGAAAACATAAAAAGGTTAAATAATGGGTGAAAGTAATGATCATTAGTGGCTGACTTGAGTTATCTTTAGATTCAATGATTCCAAAATTTCAGGTACATCAAATTTTGGTATCTTTAGATTCAATGATAAACCATGATCATTAGTGGCTGACTTGAGTTTATTAAATGAATGTGAATGAGAGCCATGATTATGAACATTTTATATATTTATTTTTCTTATTTTCTAATGAATAATGATCATCATCCAATTATATAAACACCTTATTGAAATATTTATAACATTAAAGTTTCTATTAATCTCATGATTTCCTTTCTAATAAATTCTTTTAGCATAACCTCTTATGAAAAATTGAGGATTCTAAATTTCATCTAATAAACTTTTGTATTTGACAACAATGTCAAGACATCAATTCACATCCTCTCCACTTATCATTTGCAAACCAAAATTCTATGAGAACATAATCTTTGAAATTATATGCTTAGTAAGGCCTACTTCAAGCTTAAGTTATGCTTCTTGCTGTTGTTCTCTCTCTCTCTCTCTATATATATATATATATATATATCAGATAGTAATTGACACCTGAATACTCTTAAGACATACATACATACTTCTTCCAGAGGTCTACTAACTCATTAGTCATCAACATTCTTGGGAATTTTCTTGGCGAACCATACCATTTGCCTGCCTTAGGTGATGAGAGAGGGGAGTGCACGACCACTGGTTCCTGAATGCATCGTCTTCTTGCCTCTCTGGTCACCTGCTTCTACCTGCGGCAAAGTGAGGCAGGCAGGCAACATAGACAATGGAACACATTCAAACTTGTAGTGATGTTAGTGTGATTTCCTCGAAAGTTGACGAAGCTATAAGGCATTCTTTGAAGCCATGCATGCAAACATAACGCGCTGTTCACGTAGACAGTCACATATAAATCATCACAATCAACACCCCCTCCTCTTGAACTTGTGGCTACAGAGCAAAATGGTTTTCGCTTGATTTTAGATTGAGAGACTAATGTATATGCTTCTCCCCGAGTTTCTTTCTATTATTCGGAAGCATTAATTACCCTTACTTCGTCGCCTGGAAATCCTAGCCACGGCGAGGCGTGTACATCCTCGCCCACAGATGCCTGCCGTTGATGATGAACTTGGCCGTTGGCTGCCCGTTCAGAACCCTAGCTATTGCTGAAGCATTCCTGAAGACCAGCCGGCCGTACATCGGATGCTGCCCCGGCGACACCCTCTCTATCATCACCGTCTCGAGACAAACCCCGTATCGCCTGCCACCACGCAGACCTGTTCATGTCAGATTCCCAATGCAACAAAGTGTTCCGGCGATGAAGCCATTGCAGCTCGCTCTCGACTTACGCGTTGAAGAACTCGACGATGTCCGGTATGGAGATGGGGTGCCCCCTGGAGAAGGTGATGAACATGGATCGCAGGTCCTTCGGTGACCGGTTGCTTTCTGGCGACCACGGCCTGGCCATCGGGTTCAGCGTGGAGTCTCGCGGCGGCAGAACAGTGCGAGCCTGCGCCGGTAGGCTCATGGCCACTCCCGCGGAAGACGCACCGCCTTCCCCTTGGCTGCTTCCCTCCCTCGTCGGTGGACTGATATCGTGCAGCCCGCTGGGGCGCAGGCGGTGGTCGTCGGGGTGGTTGGCAGCCTCCGCCGCCCTCTCCACGAGCACATCGTCGAATATGATCTGGCAGACGTTGTTGAAGATGTGCCTGACGCCTTTGATGGCCTCATCGCGGTGGGACTCGAAGAACCGAAGGTCCATCTTCTCAGCCATGAGGGAACTGGTCAGCGGCAGCTCGTCGCCCCTCGTCTGCTCATGCTGGCCCATGAGGCGGTCGAGGCAGGCCTCGGCCTCGGCCACGAAGCCGAGGATGACGTCGTCACTGTTGTCGGACGACACTCGCCGGATGAATTCATAGTGGTCGATGGATTCAAACCATAACCACAGTGCAATCACCTGCTTCATCCGCTCCGGGTTTTGGTCCAACTGTCGAACGAGTCGGCAGTAGAAATCTCTTTCCTGCGTGTGGAAGAGCAGCATGAGTTCATGAGGATCACGACTCGATCCCTCCATGCCTGTCGAACGAAGGTGGCCGAGCAAGCGAGCGAGCGAGCGAGCGAGCGAGAGAGAGAGAAAGAGAAGGAAAAGGTTAAGGTTATGAGCTCCATGGTGAGCGTCGAGCCTTGGTAATGTAGGATTACGGTGAAGCTCACGGAGCCATTCGGTCATGGCAGTGAAATTAATGTGGTCAGATTCGTGCCCAAAAACAACCCCACTCCAAAGTGAAGGGGATGCATCCTAAGTCGATACATGCCGACATAGTTCGGCATAAGGAGGTGCAACCATTTCCCTCGCCAATAAAAACCTACACAGCATTACAACTCACCAATATGTGCTGCATTATCTGCTCTTTCCTTCCTTCCTTTCTTTCTCTCACCTTCACATTCTTTTATCTCACTATGTTTCTCTTCCTTTTCAATGTATACAAAGTGGTAGAACTTCAAACTCTTGCACAGTGTGATCTAATTCCCATAAACTTTGGTCACCATATTGTGATGGGACAAGTAGACTTCTTTCTTTCTCTTGGATGATCCTCCAGTACATTTGGGGACATTATATCTCTAAAACATCAGGGTGGGAATCTGAAGATAGGAGAGGTTAGGAGGTATTTACTTCCAACCAAGAAAACATAATTGTTTGTTTTAAACTAATTTTTTTTTACAAGAACATATTCTTTGAAATGCTAAATACTTTGGTAAACTGAATTTAATGTTGTGAATTCAGAATGCTTTGGATGTTTTTTTCCTGTTGCAATTTTGTTTTTTTTTTAAATGTTTATGTGGTTTCCATAAACACTTTTATGTACTTTCTATAAGTACTTGCAATTTTGACAGCTTTGCATCACAATACAAGTCTTAGGAGACTCAAAGAGTAAGGAATATTTGGATTTCAGTGAAAGAAAAAAGAAGCAGACATGCATAATCAACATGTTTATTATTTATACTCCAATCAATACAAACACAGTCCAGAAATTGCTGAAGCTGTTGCTGTGTTGTGACATGAAAGACATCATCTTGTTATCCAAATGGAACTTTCCAAAGTAATAGCACAACCCAATAGTTTAGCTCTTGCAACAAGCCTTAACTGTTCAAGTCACTTTGTCTCACTACATAAGCAGAGAATCTACTGCTTGAGTGTCTCAATTGCTTAGGAGATGAAGCAAAACAAGAAAGCCATTAGCTTATCACATCTGAGGCACTGCACCCATCTCTTTGATGTGCAATTCATCCAACTACAGAAGGTTGACTCACATCGAAACAAAAAAAGAAAAAAATTACAGAATTATGGCTCTAACAAAGCCAACCGGTGGTGAAATTTTACCGTGTCGCGGTGGCCAAATAGAAAAACAAGGTTATTTTATGCCTTCTATCAAGTTCCTCCTGGAGGACTCCGCATCATCCATCTCCTGACACTGGCACCAACTTCCTTCATGTCATCTACCTGTTAACATGCATACAACATCATTGTCACCATATCTCAATCAGGACAGTTAAAATGAAAGGCAAATTACTGTGTCCTATACCTATTTCCCTCAAAAAAAATGTGGACATAATTTTTCATACTAGTAATCATCAAAATTTGCATGTTAATCCCTTGAATTTTCTTTTTGTATCTAAATACCATTTTTTTTTTGGGGAAAACAAGTTAGAATACATTTACAAGATATAGGAGGTGGGAAACATTTTAGGTAATTACCAAAAGTACCAACGATAGCAATATTGGAAAAAAGCAACCATAGGCAATAGCAATCCTACTACCTATGTCTCTTAACTATGGTTAGGTTAAGACAGCTATTGAGATGAAAATAGTTATGCATTCTTAATCTTGTACTTCAGAAGAGGAAATAAGATGATGACTTCCACAATTTTTCTTTGTTTATTTTTTAAAAAACATTTTTCTAAATATGTAAGATCCATCTTCTTAGAGCTTTAACGATTCTCTACACAAACATTAAAAATATATAGTGCTTTGCCTCTTTAAACTCTTGAGTGACATTTCAAGAAATGACTAATTAATAAAATGGCTCAGATAAAATGTTGATAAGAAAGAGATGACTAATTAATTAATAATAAAATTCTCAATAAATATGATTGTTGACAGGCTAACAATTCAGCAGTGTTGGAGCTGGAAATAAGAATCTGGAAACTTCAGAAGGATTATGGTGGAGCAGGGTTTTTTTTTTATTTTTTACTTTCATAAAAAGGTTTTAAAATCATCAAATTCATAATTATAAATGATTAACCATAATAAAAGAATATCAAGCAAATAAATTGTCAAAAAAAATTGATATAATTTGCATTAAATATACCAATATGGTTGGATGAAACTGAAATAATTTCTTAGAACTAACATATTTTGAATATGTACCATGTTGAGCTGAATTGATTTAATTTAAGTAGAGGTTCAATTTTATTAGTTTCAAAATGATTTTTTGGGAAAAAAAATAATAGAATTGAATTGAATACCTTTCTTTTTTGGAATATATCAAGAAACAATCTCAGATACTATTTATTCCTCATCATATCCTAATTTTGAATCTAAGACAATACTTTTCTCTGATTTTAAGTTAAAAGGGAATACAACTTATTCAATCACTCAAGCCCTCAATTCAAATCTTATATATTTCAAAATCATATCAACATTTACTAAATGGTATATGTTAGCATATACTTAGGACAAAATTAATTGATTAAATATTTCAAGCCTTCAATTCAAAGTTGAGCCTTCAGGTAGAATTTATATCAGTTTAGTAAAATCTGTAAGTGCAGGGGTTTTATTGCAAACTTCCGCTTCTATTAGTCATGTGACATGAAGCTATACTTCTCCTACCATTCCCGATTACCCACTTTTACACCTGCTTTGTGAATGGTTGGTTATATGGGACCCACCGGGTCGTACGCAAGTAGGTAATTATTTTGCACAAGAGGGGCATTAAGGTGGACTCACGTCGTCGATGCCGGTGGCGAGAAGAGTGCCGCCCATAGCGGTGGCGCCGGAGCCGACGAACATGGTGGCAATGGCGAAGGCCTTGAAGGGCATCGTCACCCCGCTCCCGCTGTAGCCTCGTCGGTACCACGCGATCCCAGCCGCCAGCTGGGTGGAGCTCGCCGCCGCCCACCACCACCATCTCCTCGCACCCCCTCCCGCTGCTTCCTCCATCTCTCCTCTTTGCCACGGCCGTCTGCAATCCAGAGGGAAGCGGCCGATAGGCTTCTAGGGTTTCATTCTCTTCTTCCTCTAATAAACCACGGGAAGGAACCGAGTTCTGATGGCTACAGCCGGTGAAGTTACCGCAATGCAGAAGACGAGAGATCAGCCGTCAACGGATCTGATCATCCGCATCAGTCATCTTTATCCGTCAGATCATGCGATTACGTAGCATACGACGCCCGTATTCTCACGTTGGTGCGCGGAACTAATAGACTCGACTGGGAGCATCAAAACGAGGAGGGTTTCCGTGGAGGCCTCTTCCTCCTTCCCTCTCCAATGGCTCCCAAAGTTGTCTCACTTTTCTTCTTCCTCTCAATGTCAACTGTAAAGATTCAATCTTGTGATATAAATTGTTCTTTCAGATTTGGATACTTCGGAATTTTGATCTCAGGTAGTCAAATTTCTTCGTTATTTGTGCTATGATCAGGTGTCGGAGCTTGGAGGGATTTATGGATCAGGGGGCTACCCGATAGTCGTGAGCACTTGGCCGTTCCGGGAGGCGGTGCGAGCGGCTTGGAGGTCCGTCAATGATCACGGTTCGTCGGCCGTTGATGCTGTTGTCGACGGGTGCTCCGCCTGCGAGGAGCTGCGCTGCGACGGCACAGGTATGAATGATCAGAATGATTCACTTAAAATCTTGATTGTTTGATTCATCTCGAGTTCCTACACTTGTTTGTATATGGCATCTGATTTTGGTTCTCAATGTCAATCAGATTGATATTTTCATTGAACATGAATGAGAATTATGTTAGGGTTTCTTCACAAGAGATGCTTTACTAGGTATCCTTAATTCTTGTGTCTCTGATGACTAGAATTAGTTTATTCTTGGACGCTGACAAACAAAGTGGATCTCAGGATACATAACGAAGATAGATTTTTTTTCTCTTACCTGCTCTAATCCCACAAAATGTGATTGCTTAACCCTCTTTAAGTGGATCCTTGGAGATGTGTTCTATACTGGATGCGAAGCATGATCATATTTTAATATTCAGACATGCTTGATATGCTACAAAAAAGATGATGGTGGCCATGAAGTTGCATCTAAAAAACACCACAGAATGATGACAAGAATGAACAGCAAAATAATTTAAGAAAAGAAAGCAAATGCAAGAAATGTAAGAATCTATGGGTGCAGTCATAGTGCATGTTGAGGATCATGAAGATTTGGGATATCAAAAGGTTCAACTCCTACTCATTAATGATCAGAAGAAAATGCATCAAAATTTTATAAAATTGAATATTTTATTCACACAGCTTGTAGTCTGCCACATCCTTATGCTAAGTCATCGCTGCTCCATGATTTAATTGTCATATTCTGCACCTTCAAACCATTGTTGGTAGTACCTAATCTCATGAACAGACACGTGCAGTAAGTGACTAGTGAATGAAACATTCAATTTTCTGAAGTAGGCAGACCACCTTTCTAATGTCACAAACAACTCCTGCAAGATGTCTGCTTATTAGAGGGTTGATCTTTTACAAATAAGACCTTGTAATATCTTAAGAGCAACAGACAATGCAAAATATTTAGTTGTAGTCAGAAACGGATCATGGGTTATGCTGGTGGATGGGAGTGATAGATAGAAATAAAATGGGAGAAGATGGGGGTAATACGATGGTTGATTTTGTAAATATTGTATGCATATGTTTAAGCTCGATCAAGATTCATGCACTTCTAGCATCTTTTGATATAGCCTCACCAAAAATTAGGATGAACAGTAAGCATTATGTCATGCATGCATGACAAACTCAAATGTTCTTGTAGAATTAGATTCCAATCCGGCTAATCGATAAGGTCAACTTCTAATTTGGAACTCTAGAATGTGGGTGTTACACCTCATTTTTAGATCTTGTGTGCTATCATCAGATCTGATTTCTCACATTAAAATGAAACATAGTCCATTAGTTTCAGGTGAACAATAAATTAGGGAGGTTATACATGATCTTTGATTTCGTTGTAACCTCTCCAACTTGGCACCTTGTAGTGTGGCATTATGGCAAAACAAAAGGGGATAAACAAAGATATACATGATCTTTGATTTCGTTGTAACCTCTCCAACTTGGCACCTTGTAATATGGCATTATGGCAAAACAAAAGGGGATAAACAAAGATATACATGATCTTTGATTTCGTTGTAACCTCTCCAACTTGGCACCTTCTAGTACGACATTATGGAAAAAAAAAGGACAAACAAAGATATATTGCTTAAGGATGTCAAACTGTCTGGTTTGGTCTATGCTGACCCTCTTAGCAGCCTAGGCAAGGACCTGGCCTTGCTAGGTGGGTGCCTTTATAAAATAACATAAATGTTAATATAATTTGAACATTGTTTCATAAAGCATAAACAATCTATTATTAGACTAAGATTTGTCAAAGAACATGATAATGTAAAATGATGAATGACATTATAAGTTGGTGACTTATAACGTAAAATGATTTGTCAAAGTTGGTGATTTGTCAGTAAATTTTAGATAATTTATTCTTCAAACGGTATATTATGACATAAGTTTAATACTTTGGCAAAACTGTTATGACGATTAAAAATCAAATATTATGCTGGAGAACAGATACCAGATTTAGGAGAATGGATAAGAAATGTTCACAAGCACTAAGACTGCTATATGTTAAAGGTCATGCATAAATTGTGGATATTCATTCTCTTTTTCAAATCAATGTTCAGGAGGGCACCACATTTATTGTATATTAGAGTTTTCTTTTATTTTCAAAGTTTAGGTAGAATTAAGTGTACTATTGTTTTTAACATATCATATTTTAAATTTTTTGTCATCCTTTTGTAAGAGCCCAGATAGCTGTTCATGGCATCATTAAGTTTTTATTCAATACCAGAGGAATTTGACATTACTTGTTTGTCCTTGATTATAAACATTGTTTATTTGCTTTTCTATTATTTGTTTAATTCAACTTTTCTGTAAACAGTTGGACCTGGTGGCAGTCCAGATGAGACTGGAGAAACCACATTAGATGCTCTTGTCATGGATGGGGTAACTGTTTAACCATTTATATTTCATGGCTTATATTTATTGCTTTGACATGTATAGAAGATTATGGTTCACTGGTTCTTTAAGGACACTGATAGACCACAATGGAGGTTGGAGCTGTGGCTGCTATGAGAAATGTGAAGGATGGCATCAAAGCTGCAAAATTGGTTATGGATTATACAGAGCACACTATGCTTGTTGGAGAGAAGGCCTCCATCTTTGCTATTTCAATGGGTCTTCCTGGACCAACTAATCTTAGTTCGTCAGAATCCATTGAGAAATGGGTTAAGTGGAAGGGGAATAATTGCCAACCAAACTTCCGGAAGAATGTTGTTCCTGCAAAAAGCTGTGGACCTTATCATGTTCACTATGATTCATCTTCTGCACTTGAGAGGTCTTGTGGACTTTCCAGAGAGGGAAGTGGTGAGAGGAGTTTGTTTGGAGATGGAAATCATTTGCAAACTCCTGAACATAAATCCAACATTATTAGTTACCACAACCATGACACCATCTCCATGGCCACAATTGATAAAGTAAGTCCTCACAGCTAGTCTGCTTAAGACTTGTTTTATAAACTGAATGGTTCCTTGCTTTCTGAAGATGGGGCATATTGCGGTTGGGACATCGACAAATGGAGCTACATTCAAAGTTCCTGGAAGGCAAGTCTTTTTGGTATAACCATCTATAAATCCAATTTTAGCGTGAATTAACAAATGAGGGTGTGTGGCTATTATTTGAGCTGTTCTCACCTTGGCTGTAAACTTTAAAAAATGCTAGATATCTACTTCAATTTTGTTCCATGCTCTGCATGATAATGTTCAAAAGCATCATAGGCATATCATTTTTCATCTCTTTCTTGTTTGGTTAGACTTACTCTTCACCACTAATTGCAAGCATTTCCCTGATTTAGTTCATTCTTGTTTTATGTTGAATATTTCATATATTATTAAAAGAATGTAGTTCCTGCTTTATGTTGATGGTTTGACATTACATATGATGTATGCTTATATTTTCCTAGTGAAAGTGGCAAACAGGAGACTACCTGGTGAATTTTATCACCTTAGTGATTAATCAGGGCACACTCCAGGTCTATATTAAAATTTTTTAATGTGGAATGTTTAGCTTTATATTTAACTTCGTATTTTTCCAAGAGAAACTTGTGGAACAATAATATTGAGTATTAACTAGTCAATGGACTAGATTACTCATAATGCTCACATAAATGCCAAAGGAGTGGTAGAGTATTAAGTTGCACTGTGGTCAAGCTATATAGATCTAATTCCTTTTCCACCATCAGCAATGTAAAGTGCAACAACTTTTTTATGCAGAAAACAAATATCTCCTTTTTTAATATGATTATCCAAGTCTTCTTTAGTCTTGCTGTCTCACTTGGGCAGATCGAATCTGCATAGATGACCTTTTCCTTTTGGCATGCTTCATGATCTCCAGTGAAACCGGACCACAATTTATCATGCTTCATTGCTAGAAATTATGACAAACTATATACCTGTTGATCTTGTTCCTAATTTCCCTGATTCAATATGTTGAAGATACTTTCAGTTTAACATTGTCTTCCTAGCAGTGCAAAATTATACACCTGATCTCTTGAGGCTCTTGATACAGGGTAGGTGATGGACCAATAGCAGGATCCGCTGCCTATGCTGATGATGAAGTCGGTGCTTGTGGTGCAACTGGAGATGGGGATATCATGATGCGCTTCCTTCCTTGGTATCATTCTAAATTCTCTTCTTTTCCACATTTTGCTGAATTTGTGCATCTGCAAGCAGTTCTTTTCCATGACAATGTTCTCTGTTCTATTTTGATGAATCGGATAAATAGATATTGCCCAGTTTTTCATTAATCAAAGGAGTATTATTCCCACTCACCTATGTAAACAGTTTTGCTTTTAACTGCTCCAATGTGACTACCAATTTACTTGATGGTAGAAGGACAATGTAAACGGATATGTCACAACTGAAACTACAAATATGTGATGGAGAAGAACAAGTGGGAAATGTTGAAATAATTTATTCTAAATTTTCACTTTTTGTTTGGTAGATCTCATTGAATAAGATGGTTCAAAGAGCTTGTTATTGATTCAGTGTGTGTGCAAGCTGTGATGCACTGTGTTAGCTGGCATCATCATACTCATGAAATATCAGCATAGGGGCATGGGCATAGTCTGAGAACTAATTCCGCATGAACTAGGCATGGGCATGGTCCAAGAACTATTCCAGCATGAAACTTCAGGCAAATGACTGTCATGGGCATGGACCATGTGATGGCAATACCCTTGTATGCATGAGTTCTACCTGAAGTTATCATGGACATCCTTTTGGGGCTACTGGTTTACAGAGAAGAGCTCTTTCGGCAAATTCATTAGTCTTCAAACTGATAAATGATATCTGTCATAAATTATGTTCAATAACAGAAACTTCCAAGTGCAATTGTTTTCTTGATAGAACTTAAATGAAGGAAACCCATCATCATAACACGTCTCATGAACTGCCTCGTGCAGTTATCAGGTTGTGGAGAGCATGCGGCAAGGAATGGAGCCCAGGCATGCTGCAGCAGACGCAATATCCAGAATAGCTCGCAAGTACCCAGACTTCATCGGAGCTGTTTTTGCCCTCAACAAGAACGGTGTACACGCAGGAGCTTGCCATGGATGGACTTTCCAATACTCAGTAAGAAACTCCAGCATGAAGGATGTTGAAGTATTCACTGTAGTACCTTCGGACTGATGCGATGTTGATACATCGAGATAGGCCTCCAAATCATGTAGCACTTTGTCATGTCGAGAGATGAACTTTCCATGCCTATTTTGGTAACTCAAATAAATTAGGATGAATATGAACCTTGCCCATTCTTATGTAGATGAATGTAAACCATGGCCATCTCCTGTACCCAATCGACTAATTCATTGGAAAAGAACTCAATGGAAGCCGTGCGATGAATATTTGTGCTCCATGATTTTTTTTTTTTGGCTTTCTGGAAAGTATAAATTGGGGATTATATGCTGTCTGATCTTGTGATTCTCCTCATTTATGGGTTACATTACTGTCTTTCCTGGAATTGGTATGAGTTGCAGCAAACTTCTCTCTCTCTCTCTCTCTCTCTCTCTCTGTGTGTGACTGCTAAGTGGATTGAACTTGGTGAGAAGTGATTCAGTGTATGGCAGAACTGCTCATGAACAACTTTTACTGATCTCGCTAAATACTCATAAATCTCACCATGATAAATATTTGGAAATCCCCCCTTCATCTAAATAACGCTCATTCACTATGTTGATTCTCTGTTATGACATGCAAGCGATCGTGTTAAGAGGGAGGTATATTGTGTGTTTCTGTAGATGTGATGGTGTCATCATTGCATCTATTTAGTTTTGTTCCACTGACAACTTGCATAAAGTTCAAAAAGGATCGATCGATCTAATATAGTTATTATGTTCACAACACCAAGTTTTTAGGTGCTCTTTAGACAGATGATGAGAATAGAGCAGAGGGAAAAAAATAATAATAAGAGAATAGAATGCCAAAAAATATGTCATGTCAGGTAAGATAGATGATGAATATTTTAACTATTGATAACAAAGTTTTGAGATCAAATCCTGTCTTTATCATTAAAAAAGAATAATAGAATGCTAAAGTGGTTTCATATTTTCTGATACTTCAAACTTATAAGAGGAACTCCTAATGAGTCAAGAATGCAGATTCAGACCCCTATATTATGAGAGAAGAAAGCTGATGGGAGGGAAGTTTAGGACCTCAGATTTCATTCTCAAGCAAAAGAATAAAGCCAAGTAATTTTATGAATGAGGATGTTAGCAAAGCAATTTTGATCAGATGAAAAGCAAAAGCCAAGTAATTTTATGAATGCGGATGTTAGCAAAGCAATTTTAGTTAGCAAAGCAATTTTATGAACGCACGCACACGTGCACACACAATTTTATGAATGCGGATGTCACACACGCACGCACGCACACACACACGCGCACACACACACACATATATATATATATATAGAGAGAGAGAGAGAGAGAGAGATAAAATAGAAACCACAAGAGTAACAAAAGGAATTATTTCTCCCAAGTTATCATAAGATATTTGAGATATGTAAGCAGGCCGACACCATTTTGATATGAACATGAAATTCTGGAATATTAGGACTCGAATACATAAGAAAGAAACAGATTAGGACCAAAAAACTTCTCAGAAAAATGGGCTACAAAGTTCAGATAGACAATCTCGTACATTAAAGGAGAAAAAACAGTTCATTTCACAAAGCAAATCAGCAGTAGCAACAGACTTCATGATTTTTGGTTGACTTGCTAACGAAGAGATCTCATGCTGTGTTGGAATTGGAAGTGGGAAGTGGATCATTTGTGCTTCAAGTCGCAAGCTTCTCAGAGCATGATTTGTGTTCATGAACCACATCCCTGCTGTTAGAAGCCACTTGACAAGGATAAAGTGACTTACAGTTGGTGATATTACTCTTCTTGAGCAGATCCCATAGTTCAAAATTTGACGTATGCCAGTACGGAAATCTCTGAAGCTTTTGCTATGCCTTTAACGGGCAATGGACAAGATGTTACTAGATGACTCTCTGATGCTTGAGACGTAAAGACATGCACGTAACATACCAATATTCTCGAGGGTACACAAGAAATTTCATGAACCAAAATGTCCAATGTCCATTGAGGGAAAAGCGGTTTGAGCTATCCTCAATCCTCTCAGAAGACTTTTTGCCGTCTCCCTCTCCTGCACAATTAATTGTGAAATAAGGTAATTTGAATGCAAGAAGAAATAATTGCAAAACTTCAAAATAAGGAACAAACCACAGTAGTATAAACTGAACAGAAAATGTAGGTCACATATTAAAAATAGAATAATATTGTACATACATGGCCATACTATGGTGGTGAAGGGGACTAGGTCATGTTTAACCTTTATCTATTCTCCTAATACATCCTAAAACAAAAAGAGATCAGAATACGCACCGGACCAGTATAATCCAAGAGCCTTGTGCAATAGAACTCTGCTTCTTCAAACTTTTTCTCAGATTTGTAGTACCTAGCAAGGTAAAGCATAGCTTCAACCATATTTGGCCCTTGTCTGCCTTCAGCTTCCATCCTCTCTAAGTCTTTCTTGTAGAAGAATGCAGCTTGTTCAGAGTGCCCAAGAACACCATGCAACTTTGCAAGCTGATGCAAGGCTATGCCTTCACTGTCATTCGAGTTTGCAGCCCTCGTGTAACATTTAATGGCCTCCTCGAGCATCTGAAGTGGCGCACTTTCATAGCACTGAGCCATGGCTACCCAAAGCCTGGAATCATTAGGCTGCAAGCATGATGATTTCCGAAAATAATACAGGGCATAAAAGGGCATATTCATCACCTCATAGGTTTGACCCAAACCATACCAGGCACGGTAATCCCTAGGATTTATTTCAATAGCCCTGCGATAGGCATCGATTGCAGCTGGGGTATTCTTCATCTCTACATACTCATGACCCATCAGTGTCCAAGCTGAGAGGTACTTTCTGTTAAGTTTAAGTGCCCTCCTGAAGTATAGAACAGATTTCTCATGTTGCCCCTTCAAACTGTAATAATTTGCAATGATGCAGCATGACTCAGGTCTATATTTATCTGTCAAAAACACCCTGTGGGCAAGGAAACTCAGAGCAGAGAAACATTCTTTTGCATAAAGCAAATTTGAATAAATATCCATTGACTCCACCCGATAAGGATCATTCCTGAGGAGGTCTTCAAATATTACTTCAGCCTCATCAAGCTCCCTTAAGCTATAAAGAGCTGTTGCAATTTGAGACTGGATGTAGTCACTGGAACGGAAAACCCCCAGTAAGCACTCATATCGTTTTAAAGCTTCTTCATGCATCTTTAGCTCCTGATATGTACTAGCAAGAAAGAAGTCCTTCATCCAGTGGTTTTTGAGATTTAGTTTAGTCAAGGTGTCGGTGTTAGTGCACAGGGACTGAAGTTCTGACCAAGCGCTCCAATTCCACGGGAAGCTATTAACAGATTCCACAAAAACAGTTACAGCCAGGCTCTCGCAGCCTTTATCTTTAAGTATGAGTCCATACAAGTATAAATCAAAGGAGTCAATGCTGCCAATTCTCCTGAGCGAAGAAAGTTCTCTCTCTAAAGAGATCAGTTCACTGTTGACAACATCACTCTTGCCCAAAGACCCATCAAGTTCTATCATCTCTTCCTCCTTACGCTTTTCTCCTGCCTATGATGTGGAATTAATAGATTGAAGGAAAAGAAGTATCAGAGGTTTCATCAGCATATTAACTGGGAATGAACTGAAAAGATCTAGAGTGATCATTGATGGATATGGTCATGGCTATCTAAAATAAAACTAAAATAGTATATGAACTACTAAACTTGCAAGCAAATGCTAAGATGTACTGCTGATGGACAAAGTTTCATGCTTATGGCTACAGCCACTTAGAATGAAAAAAAGTAAACTACAGCAGGAATGCAATATTTTCGAGCAAATGAAAAAATGTACCGATGCGATGCATAGACAGACAAACCCAGGGATCCAAGCATAACCGAGAAAGAAGAATCTCTGTGGACAATTATAGATCTGCTGCTTAACATAGGCAGTTGTTAACAAAAATAATTTATCATGCATGACAAAGTAGAAGCAATCCAAAGAAAAGCTGATACAGACATCGTCACTACAACATGTTAGGCTGAGCATTCACGTGTTAGTATCTGAAAACTGTCAGTATCAGACATTGTCACTACATGGACATGATAAACATTTGAAAGTGTCCCTGCTACAGATATTTAATTGTTGACCTTAGCATTCCAACGTCTGAAGCTATTTTGGCAATAATCCTCTTTCTTTGAAACAAGGTAGGCAAGAGTAACACCTCATGGGCAGACATGTATTGTAGGTCTAAGCTGTAGGCAACAAATCAATGTCCACAAAAGATTTCAGGATTGATTATTCATTAAAATAATCCTTAGTTTCAAAGCTCAGTAAGTACAGAGCTAATTTGTTATGATGCTTTTAGTAATACAGCAAAGAATTCAATATTGAACTCATAGTTTGTAGGAGAAAGCAAATCAAGGGATAATATTTAGATTTCTACAACTTTAGCATACCTGCCACCAAGGTCCGCAATACCGTACCGTATCGGAGTTTCGACCTGGGCTCGGTACCGATACGGTATACCGAGCGGTACACCCAGGTGTACCGAGCGGTATATTCAGGCGTGCAGTACAGTAGTACTGCTACAGTGTCGGACCGGTACCAGGCGGTACAGTCCAGTACTGCAGACCATGCCTGTCACAATGATGTCAACAACCCCTTCAGTTCACAAATTTATACTACTTCTAAAGATGAGACAATATAAGAATTTCTCCTCTTTGTTGCTAAAAGATGAAACTACTCCTTTGTCTATGTAAGCTTATACCTAAAGAACAATTTTGTAATGTGAAATAGAATCAATTCATTAATAGGTTGGTGCTAGCCATTTTCCATTTCTTTGGGGAAAAAAACAGGAAAGAGAAGTCTTTACTGATCAAAGTGAACTGAGATAACAAGCAACATGCTTAAATCTAAGTGAAACCAAACTGCAATCTCACATTATGTCAGTCCACATGTAACATTGAGGAAAAATAATTCCTCACCCTTGGACTTACCACTTCCAAATTAGTTACCTAATGACCAAAATTTTCACTGTCTCTGACTGGAATAGTGTTGAACTATTACCTCTAGTCTTAACTGGTTTCTAGTCTTTGGCTTGTTAAAACTAACTGATATTGCTTCATTATCCATAGAATGACATTTATGGTGCTAGACTGTCTAAGAAAATACTTAAGAATGGTAGAGATGGTGCATAAATCTTGTAAAAAGGACACATTTACAGTGCATAATCTCACAAAGTGCAACCAGAAAATTTGAACATCTAATCATCTCAGATAATGGAAGCTAATTCTCCCTCGGTGTCTTTTTCAAGTATGCAAAAGAGTCTTCATGGATCAATATTCCAAATAGGGGTGGAATGGCAAACACAAAAACCATTATGGGGTTTTTATTAGGATGGCAAGCACTTAATCTGCAACAAAGATCAAGTTGATGTCAACATTTAGATACTCGATGACCTGAAATCTAAGATCAGAGACAAGTTAAAATTAAACATCAGATACAATAAGAAACTGTTCCCACATTTCCCACAGAAGAGTTGCAAAGAACAAGCATTGTAGAAAACAATTGCATTTCATCAGATTATGATGCTCAACAAGAAGTAAGGTCAGAAATATAAGCAAGATGAACATGTGAAGAATCCAATTCTCTCTCCTCATGGACTGAATTCAAAACCAGCAGCAAGAAAGAACAGGGTCTAAAAAATTAGACGATGAAATGACCAACAAAAGGGGCAATAAATGATCACTTGAGGCAACAGTTTGACAAATGATATACTCAGACAACAATTCCAATTAGATGAGATGGAAAACCAGAAGTTCCAGGGATCCAATTGCACCACGATTCTATGGGTTCCCAACCTTCCACCACACATAGGACCTTAGATCATCCATTTATCACGCTCAAACAGCCAATTGGACATTCGAAGCTAAAAAGATGCATGAAACAGAAAATCCAGTTCATGCTAACTAACTTTAGAAAATCCCTACGCCTGCATAAGATGATACATTAAAAGAAAGAGTCTACCTTAGAGCACATCACACCCTACAGTGGATGAGACACTGAAAGAACGTATATGTTTACAATTTTCTTGGCTAACAGCCAAACGGATTCAGGGTGGTTGTTTGATCAATTAGAAAGCAGATGAAACCACACCAATTAACTAGAATCCAACGATAGAAAGAATTTTCCGACAGATGCATTTCATCAAACAACACCAGGAACAGACCTCAACATGCTAATAAGAACAAGGACTCATCAGAGGGGAGACGGAAGTAGGGTTACCAAGTAAAGGGCATAACAACGGAGGAAGCCGGTCTTCTTCCCGGTCTGACCTCTGAGCGTGTGAGCGGCCCGCCGGTACTCGCGGCAGTCAAAGTAGGACTTGGCGAGGAGATAGCGGTCGTTGCCGCCATCACTGTTGAAGCCATCGTCGTCAGGAACGGGCGTGCTGATGTAGGAGACGCCGGCGGGAGGCGTGGCGGCGATGTCGCCAGAGGCAGCGGCGGAGCGGAGGCGGCGGCGGTATGCGGAGGCGTCAGGGTGGAGGTGGGAGAGGGGGCGGGCGGCGCTGGAGGTGGAGGGGGTGGCGCGGGCAGAGGCAGCCGAAGAGGAGGCGGAGGACGCGGGGGCGTGGACGTCGGGCTCGATGTCGATGAGGAGTTCCGCTGCCCTGACGAGAGGAGAGATTAATGTATCTAAATCTGCAAAGAGAGAGAGGAGGAGGAGGAGGAGGGAGGAGAGGACATCCACCATTTGGCGGCGGAGTAGAGGCAGCGATCGCTAAGTTGGCGGGCGGCGGATCGGAGCTCGACTCGGTAGCTCTCTTTGGAACTCATCTCTCTCTCGCTATCTCGAGACTGTCGATTGCTGTGGGTTGGGAGAAGCGGAGGGAAAACAATATCTTTTTGTAGAAAGTACTTAAAACAAGCGCTCGTGCTAACGTACGCAGGGGGCGGGAGCACCATTTTTTGGAACAGTGACCAAACATGTTCTCTTCTGTCATATTTCCACACGCTTGAATCATATTAAGATTTCCATTAATCGAATTCAATATATGCGAAAAATAATTATAGGATTAGTTTATTCTAAAACTATTTTTCATTTGTTCGGATTGTGTGCCTAATTAACATTTTTATTTGTTCTTGGATGAGTTCAGAGAGTACACAAGTGATGATGATTGGGGTTTTGGATTTCAAATACAGGACTCAGATACCTTATCTATGTCATTGATAATACGATACTTACAAGTCCCTCAATTCTTATTATACATATGAAAGTTAAATGGAAATTGAAGATGAGAAGTGGATAACTCAACAATGTTTAAGATCTGATACCTAACATTCATCCATCCCTATGGAAATTGAAGAATCTAATTTTTTTTAGAAAGAATCAATTTATTATTATTTTTTTGCTTTCCTGTTTGCTTAATTCTATATAAATATGCATGAGAATCTAATTATTTGTTAGCAAGTAGCTAAAATGTAAAGTACTGTTCATATCAAACTTTGTTCTACCTATCCAGGAAGCAAATCAAACCTGTCAACTAAAACAAATGGAAGAAAGCTATTTTTGGTTCACAATTCACTGCTGCAATGATTTAGTGAAAATTAATAACAAATAACCCTAAATAATTGAGACTTACGATTTTGTTATTGTATAATAATAAATAGTAATAATAATATTCTTTTGGGTTAGATGCATAACCTGGACTGTTGTAGAGGTAAAAGAAGTTACCAGTGTGTTCTTGGTAAAAACTGGAATACATCATCCTCAATTCAAATGATTTCACAACAGTTTAAAGATCATCATCACCTACTCTATATCAGAGCAAATCACATCACTGCCCACCAACTACAACCAGTAAGACCTGCATGAACATGTTTTCATCATTGAGAAATACCAAAACGCAGATCTTTCAGTATGGAGAGGATGCCACCATCCGTTGCTGGTGAAGTTCTGAGTTCAGTGCAGGGAACTGATGTCATTGATCATTTGTTCCAACTGAAAAATTAATGACAGAAATCAGAGCTGTTTCAGGATCAAATAATATTAGGTAATGACAGAAAATGGAGAATAAAAAAAATTATTGAAGTAAGAAAACAAAAGCAATAAGCAGATAAATGACATGAACTTTTTTAATCTAAACATATATGTTATCTGATGTTCAAATATAAGTTTCAGATAATAACAATTCAAACGAGAAGGTCACCGTAACATTTAGAATGATTATAGCAAGAAAACCTGCAGTTCGGTCTAAGATACCAAGCATAATGACGCTGGAAGCTGCAAGATTGAGCTAAACATCAATTTTCCCCATAATGATGCTTGATATTGCAGCACAAAATTATGAACGAAGCAGCACAACCTTGTCAATCTTAGATCTGAATCACTAATCAGCTCCATAAATCAATTCCAGCTAAAAACATTAGAGAAACATCAATTCCTGCTGCACCAAAATTTGTCTCTGCTGAATCAATCGTTCCTTCTTTCCCTTCTCTTTTCCTGATTACAATCTTTTATTCTTCCCACTACAATACGAAAAATGCCACCAACTCATTATGTAATCTGAGCTAGAGGCTTCTGCAGCTGTGTATTTGCCACATTCGTTTCATTATTATGATACCAAGATTATTTGTGGCATTCAAACCTAGTGCCTGCTCTTATCCTTCCAAGACACTATCAGGTCATACAGCATTTTGTACTAAAGCACAACCGGATACCTTCTAATTTGACCACTGACTTAGAAAGCAAGAAAATATCATGCTTCATTGATGCAAAATTATTTAAGGAAACCTTCATTAGTTTCTAAATCCTCATTGTAAATGAATTTTGTTCACTGGTCATCATAATTATATAAGAAAAGCTTCAAACATGAATGTCCTCATCTATAGAAATCAAATGAAAAGAACTTTAAGCTATCATCAAACACCTTCTGCAGATGATTTATTGAAGAAATCTAATAGCTCAATATAAAATGTATCCAATTCCACCAAACTGATATCAAGAAAACTCAAATTACATAGAAATTGTGCATCAAGTAACAGAACATCAGGTATTTGATGCTGAGAGAGGAGGTCACTTTCCTTGCTTTCCTCAATCACTTATATTGTAAAGTTATTTTTTCGCTCAATCTCAATAATGTCAATCAAAACCGCAAGATTAGTGTTGCCAATGTTGTAAACCTCACATATGCCATGTATTCCTGTAAGAACTCCAGAGAAGAGTGATGAATGTGGCAAGAGGCATCTTTGTCCCTAACCAGAAAAGGAGACCATAGGTGCAACCTAATATTCTTGTGGGTCATGTTATTAAATATCAAGAATGAGTAACTTTTATATGCAAACATTTCAGATACAGGGATATATCCCTGCATCCTGCAATTCCTAACTAAGCACAAGACAAGTGGGATAAGAATGCCATTTTTTCTTCCTTTCCCTAGTTTGCTTAATTTTCCTTGCAAGAATCGCCTGAGAAAAATTGAATCATAGCGGCAAGTAAATCAACCATCTACTAAGAAATATAATTTTACTCAGATAAAAATCCAATTATTCAAAGGCATAAACACAGAGTATTCTTCAAATAACATCAGTTGCGGACACAAGTTTACAGCTGCCAATACCTATTCAACACAGATGCAAACATAAACATTTATCCAAACTTCTTGATAAATAGAGATAAAGGAGAATAGAAGTCAAGACCAGAGCAAGTTAGGTCCACTTAAAAAGGAATTTGCAGTCCAATACAGCTCCATTAGCTGCTAATTCCATCTCAAGAAGCTGATAGCAACTTTGTTGCATGTTCTAGATCAATGCCTTCACGATAATTCTCAAGCTTACAATTTTCACTTTCTGCAAAAACTACCCATACCAAAATCCCAGCTCTTAGATCAGATCCTATTGCTTGAAAATATCTATCCTCCAATTAAATAAAAGCTAGCTACAAGCAGATGATCGCATCCTGAGGAAGTGCTCAAATACGAAAGTCTTCCAAAACCATGATCTTGTACATGAATGAATTTGGGTGAATTGAACAAATCAAGCATACGTTGGTCATTGAAAATAAAGTCTTTCTTCAGCCAACAAATGAGAATATTAGGTTAGTCTTGACAAATTAACAATAAAGAAACACAGTTTTAGTTGCCAACACCAATTAACTAAATACATAAGCACCATTCAAAATTGGTGAAATTTTGGGCACTTAAACAAACCTCCTAACCATCTACAGGTGGTCCACAAAATCAAAGGCGAGATGTGTGGCATTTTCAATCCACTGACATATTAGTACAATACTAAGAAGGATTTATCCAGCATATATAAACAAATTATAATCAGTATAAACACTTGAAAATTGCTAAATCAAGCAGTCAGTTAAAAAGAGAGACCAGTAGCCAAAACCAAATCTTTTTCCATTTCTTTCTAATGATCCTAATCAGAGACAATATGTCAATTACAAACAACAATGTAGAAACTGATATTACATGGATGCATGAGGCGCATGTTAGTTACCATAAGATGACACAAACAATCAAAGGCCAAATTCCCTGATACATGTAAAAAATTCAAGGAATCTATCACCACTAATATATTAAGTGTCTTACTCTTAAGAACCATAGTTTGGTATTTCGCAGGGTTAGGCCTGAAACCAATTTCCAAAGATGCTTTTAATGGTTGATCATGGCAATGCACGTCTAAGACTGGAAAAAGATGCAAAAATTTTAAGTTCAGATGTTTCAAATCAACTTATGCTTTTGGTTGTAGATATTGGAGCAGCTACAACAGTGCTAGATGGAGAAGCCACAATGATGTACTCTTGTTCCTCTAGTGTAAAGTCTTTAAACAGAGGCTTCAGTTACAGGACAAGGCAAACATTATTCTTTGATTTCCATCACTGTCACATCTGGATGAGAAGCACTCTGACCACTGTTTAGGAGCTGCTGGGTGAACACTATAGAGGTACATCATGAACCTCTTCTCAGAACTGGCAAGGACAGTGGCTGGGGCAAGATGCTTCTTGAGCAAGCCATGTTCTTTATGCCAGTTTAGTATGTTATATCTAGGTTTGGCACTATTCTCCAGATCAAAACAAAGAAAAGCTGGGAAAGCACCAAGGTAGCTCAAGGAACAACCTAAGTCATTGCAGAAGAAATTTACCTTCTCATGGAGCATTTCTTTGCGCTGATTAAGTAACTTTGGAGTCCCACTTATCATCCTACACAGCATGGAGTACTCGATACCCGTCTCGAGAAGGTGATCAAAGCGCACCTGCAATTGGACTCTCGAGGTATTGATCAGTGACAGCGTTCTGACAGTGATCTTGTTCTCCCCAAATCCTATACCAAGCAAGAATTCTAGTTTGTTATTCACAGACTTTTCCTTCTTCAGGCATTTTACCCTATCCAAACCTTGCAGAAATCCACTCTCAATTGCTGTATCATGGGGAGCAGCAGAAACAAAAGAAGATGAGAGGTAATGATAATTCCCATCCAAAATCCTACTTAGAAACCAGCTGTGCAGGTCCATGGCTCGCATCATTCCTGGCAAATTCCCCAATTTATTCTTGCCCATGACATGCGGATACCTCTGTGACAGTGAAGTCACTTCGTTTTTATCTAATCCAACATGATTCAGATACTCTGGCATCGCAACGCTAGGGTTTTCCAAATCAAAACCCAACAAATCAGGGCATCCAAGAATAAAAGGACCAACCTTCTCCTCCTCCATGCCTAACTTGGTGAGGTACTTAAACTTTTCAGCGATTACTGCCTCATCCACTGTGATAAATATCTCCCCGTTCCTGCCCATCAGCTCGCCCATTGTCCCCTTCCTGGAACCGAGATCATAGAACAGCCGAATCCTCCTAGAAACCTGGAGGAAGACATCCACATCGTTCTCAGTCACGCACCCAGCTAACCTAAAGTCCACGAAGACCGTCCTCAGATCCCGGAACAAGAGATCGATTTCCCCTCCTGGCTCCGCATCTGCACTCAGCGCGGAGGGGAACGCAAGGCAGATGCCAATGACGCAGACCCGGCGGAAGCCACGGGCCTCAAGGGCTCGCAGCCTGGCGATGAGGCAGTCGGGGCCGGATGAGAAGATGGAGGGCTCCTCGCGGTAGAGGAGGCCGAGCTTGGTCCAGGGGAAGCCGAAGTGGACGAGGGCGGATACGGAAGCCAGGAGACGCGGTTCGTCGGAAAGAAAGATGCCGCGGTAGGAGGCACCTGCGGGTGAGGAGGACGGCGGGAGGCCGATGCTCTCGAAGAAGAATTCAAACTCGTTGATGGGTCGGTAGGAGAGGAAGCGATGGAGGGCGACCTTAACGTCGGCGGCGACGGCATCGGGGGGGAAGCGGAACTGGGAAACGAGGTCGGAGAGTGTGAAGGGGGAGTTGTAAGCGATGGATTCGGCGTGAGAAAAGGGGAGGGAGCGCGTGCAGTGGAGGTAGTCGGTGAGAAATCTCTGCGCCTCCGCCAGGGCGCGCGCTCGGTAGTAGTAACGCAGGTTCTTCAGCTTCGGCGGCGACGTGGACAGGAACCGCGAGAGGAGCACCCGCGCAGGCCATCCGAGTCGCATCGCGCATCGCATGCGTCGAAGAGAGCAAGAAGGCTTAGGTCTCCAGGCTCCAGCCTTTGGATTAACAGTTCCGAAGCAAGGAGAGACGGAGCAAGAAGCCGAGGTGTGTTCCAGCTAAGCCCATAAGGCCCATATATATATATATATATATATATATATATATATAAAGATGTGGAATTAAGATTTCAATACACAACATGAACACTTCAATCTCTTCATATATATATATATATAAGCTAGTTATTTACTGGTTTGCTTATCAAAAATGAACAACACATTTGTTATTACACATGCTTGCAAGTACAAGTGACAAATGTGTATAAATCTCATGAACCATCTCAGCCTGAGGCATCCTCAACCCTGGAAGGAGATGACTAAGTTCCTTAGCAGTAGCAACGCAGAACACCATGAACCATATTGCTCAACACAATTCTGTGTCTTGTCCCCACTTCATTTTTCCCATTCATGCACCTTCCACTCTGGCAACTGTTGGATTATAATCTGCATTGGTGACAAATAAGAATGAGCATCTTTTTAAGCTTGTCTACTTGATTACTGCTGTTAGTAGCTGACTTACTTGTCCTCTAGAATCCTTGTTGCCAACCATAGTTTGGCATGCTAATCTCCATGTCTTGGGTTTCTGCAATTTGTAATTGAGAGTAATATGAGTAGAACAATTGTATGCAAGTGAGAGCTAAGAAAAGCTGAAGAAGATGTGAGGAAACATGAAACAGAGTGCTAAGCAGAAACCTTCTTGAGCAATTCCTTCTCTTTGTCAGTTCTCAGGCTTAGGATTTCTTTACCCTCAACCACCTGAAAATTCATTGCTCAGTGTCTAATTCTACTCTCAAGCAACCAAAAGCAGTTCCCAACACCATTCCATTCCTCCAGAAACTACTCGAACATGTCTAGCCATGAATCAGCAGCAGCTCAAGGCATAAAGGACAGACACATACCTCCACAATACATGTTCCACAGGTGCCACCTCCAGAACAGTTCAGCAGAGGTCCATCCTGCAATGGTCTACGACTAAGCTCCCTCAATGCACCTCAAGAATCACATCGGAGACAGCATTTAGCTGTACTTACATATGGCCCGTAAAGATCAATGTTGTTGTCCAGCATGATGTCCCTTAGCTTCTGCCCACCGCACGCAGACCGATACTGCACGTCCGGCGTGCCGTCCGGTAGCAGCTTGGACTGCAAGAGCAACGCACATCGACGACATGAGGTGCTGCAGAGAAAAATCGGAAGAGATTTCGGAACCGAGCGCACATTCACGAACGCGAAGTCGATGGACGGAGGCTCTTCGGACGCGACGTCGGCGCTTTCGGATCCACCGCTCGTGGTGTTTGTGGAAATGGCGAAGAGCTTGCGCCTTTCCAGGCTTACCTGGTTGGGGAGGTGGAGCGGTCTGAGGGATTTGGAGTTGTAGTTGAAGCTCGAAGTGATCGGAATGGAAGAGATGCCGGGAGAATTGAATTGGAGAAGTCCCATTACTCGTGGGGAGAATCGAAGCAGTAAGACTATGGGATCTGTGGCTCCTCCGCCCCGTTTATTTGGGTAGCATAAGCTTCTTCTTATCTGAACTGCCTTCGTGTGGTCATCGTTTATCTCATCGTTGGGACCAATTCCAATTCCAATAACATCATAATTACCTTTTATTTTTTTGTCCAAATTTTCTTCACCTATTTTTTTATTTATTAATTAAAAATGACAAAAATATTTTGACTCCCACAACTTCCGATCTCCTTAGCGCAATGTCCAATCCTTCAGTCCGATGCCCGAATTCACGGCATGAGCCTTCTGCCGGCATGTCGACCAATCCTTCGGTCCGACGTCCAATCTTTTGATATATTTACCTTGACCCAATATGATTCTTCCTTCTTTAATCAATTTGTCTCTCCTATGTCACTTAAAACACATATTAAATCACAAACTCATCAATTGATTTCGTTATCAAAATCCGAGATTCAATAATATTTGCATTGACGTCGGAAGAGAAAGAGGAGAGAAGTGAGACATTTACGTTGGTGTCGCATCGCTTTGCCTCCTCTTTCTCTTCTGACAATGTGGCGATCGAAGAGAATAAAAAGAGGCAGTGCGGTGTGATGCCGATGCAGATGCCTCACTTTCATTGTCCTCCTTCGGCATCACACTACTTTATCTCACTTATCTCCTCTTCCTTAGTAACGTAGATGTCTTACGTGCCTCCTCTTCTTCCTCCGACATTATCGTAGATGTAGAGTGGCGATAAAGGTGGAAGAAGAGGTAGAGTGGTACAATGTCAATGTAGATGCCTCATTGCTTTGTCTCGTCTTCCTCCTCGTTGACTAAAGATAATTTTTTATCGTAAATCCAGTCAATCTCATACCTCATTGGTAACCATGCATATCTATTTTCCTCAACCAGAATTATGAGCTCCGTAAATTGAATTGAGGCGGGGTCCACCAGGTCTGGCCCACGGAACAGACCACGATGCGCCCCGTTTTGCTTTCCGTTACGTACTCCGACATATATGGGGACATATAACGGCAAGTGCGTCCTTCGAAACCGTTATATTATGGCGAGACCACACAATCCCAGGATTCGAGGACGGAAGAGTAGGAGGTGGAGGAGAAGGTAAATAGATATCCCACCGCCTCTCGCCTCCTCTGGCTCTTGATGGAAAGGAATGGGTCAGCCTCGACCTCGATCTCGACGCTCTTCTTGGATCGCGTCGGCGAGGTCGCCGTTACTCTGGATCCCGATGGTCTCTCTTGGAAGCCGATCGATTGTGTGAGTCCCCTTACGTTCATAAATTTGGTTTTGTATAGGAAATACTTTCGCTTTGATCCTAGATGAATGCTGTTTTTTATTCCTCTGCTGATTGATTGATCCTGTTGACGGATGCTTGGAAATTGGAGACGATTTAGCTTGATTTCCTGTGAAGGGATTCCAAGAAAAGCTCCTTGACATGAATTTGATGGAGGTTAGCAGTGCAACACATGTTGTTGGCAGCTGAGTGCTGGATGTATCGTCGGCTTTACTAGAGCTTGATGTGATTGCGGTTACTACACATCCGAGTACCATGTGGTACCCATTTCTAAGGAGCCCTTATTATGATATCATACTATGGTTTAAGTGTCTCATTTTGGCTCTTTCTTGGACAAAAGTGAAATCGGTTTGGGATATTTAGACCAGACGTTTAGGCTGTTGTGGTTCGAGTGTCGCGTTTTGGATTTTATGGTTTTGAATATTTAGATCAGAGAATGCAGGATCGTTTCGTTGCTCTATAAGATGTGTGCCATGAACTTTATGGAATATTGTAGTTTCAATTATTTGAAATATTTGATAGTTTCTGAGACATCATCTAATATTTATTAAGCTATTTTTGGGACATTCCCTTTCGGACGAACTTCACTCTTTGGTCTTAGCTTTGCACTAGATGTATGAACAAGTTTTCAATGTCTAAATTAGCGATGCTGCATCATTTAGATGCATGTAATTGTCAAAAATTCTTATTGAGATCATAAAATGAAACTGGAAAAAAATCGAGGGAAATTAGTGAGACTGCCTTATGTCAGGGATTGATGGAGCTTTATAAATAGAATGGGGGATATGGAGGACCTTCGGTTAGAAGCAGTCAACAATGGTCCTCAAAGAATTCTTGTGTTGATCTATATTAAGAACAATAATATGAAGCAACTGAGAGAGGAAAAGGTCAGGAAATGATAAACTGATGAGCTAGTTAAATTAGCTTATAGAAAGATATTCTTTGGATGTGAAAATTAAACTACTGGTGAGGTTGAGATAGATGTGTTACGAAAAGCAAGATCACAAAAATCTTGCTCAAGGATATAGTCATGAGGCTGATATGGAAGGAACCAACAAGGAGATCTTCACTGGAATATAGTGTGAAAAAAGTCATTAATTGTAAAGCAATATTAGAAGTTCCATATCTGAATTCACATTAAAAGATGGCTTCACATGAGTCTGTAAGTATCTCTATGAGTCCTAGTTCATCTGCAAAGAGAAAGATGAGAGATCATTGGATCTGATATTGTTCCTTTGGAATTATGGATGAAAACAGGATCAGGCTTTCAAATTATTTTAGCCAGGAAAAATAGCTGCTACTTCATCTGATAACTATAATCTGCCAAAGCCTACCATGCAAAGGCCATCTTAGAGGTGAAACAGAAGCAATAGTCATTTAATTATCAGTTGTTCTGTATGTCTTGATGAAAGTCTTCGGGGTGAAGCCCAATTGATTAGGCCTACAAAATGGTGTTCGAGGTGTAAAAGAACACATTATGAGCCTATATAAACCTTTTAAGATGATTGCTTGATATGAGTTGGAAGGAAAGATGCATTACTGATCTTTATGCTGGAGTAGCAAGTAAAAAAGATACTGTAGATGTCAAAATTGTTGTAAACCTAATTGAAGTGCCTTTAAATTTCAAATCCTATCCTATTAGTCTATTAAACCAAATGTACTCTTCATAGTTATTGGCTTGTGTATTACCACCTCTGAAAATTTTTGAAGATATTGTAGATGACAAAATTGTTGTAAGAGATGAAATCTATCTATACCATTGAACAAATTTTCGTATATGCATGCCAAACATACCACATCAGTCTGGTCTTATATGGTACCAGTACCTTTTAAATATCTTATATCTGTTTACTAAGGCATATCAGATATATTGCTGCATATCTGTCTGATAAGATCTTGATAAAGGTACAAGGATTGGTGTTCGGATGTTGCTGAATTTTTCATAGACTAATTCCTTCTCAACTATATTCCAGTCAGTTATAAATCGAGTCTTTTGCTGATAGCATTTCCTTTTGCATATAAAAGTTAACTGTGTTTTTCAGTTATTTTATGAAACTCGAGTGAACTGATATCTTGCTTTGAGCTTTGTTTTGCTATTGTCCATATAGCACTTGTTTCTAGTTTTTCCTACCATGAGATATGGATGGATCTGATGGGAGGGCAAAATCTTAAATTACAGCATAAGAAGCTATTCTACTACTTCATCAGGCTTTATATAAATTACCTTACATGTTACCACTGAGTATCTTGCATGCAGGTAATTGATTTGCATGTTTACATTGCCACCAGTTATCTTGCATGTTTTCAATATGATACCATCTGGGACATTCATGGCAATTACTTTCTTAAACCGTGGACATTCATGTTTTCAATATGCTACCACCAGTTATCTCCTCTCATTTTGTTGCTCCTTGGTTAACCTATTTATATACTATTAGATAGTTTAGAAGGATGTATGATTCATTGTATTCTTTTGAGCTAAGCTTTGTGTCATAATTGATAATGGATGTTTAGAAAATTGTTTCTTGAGATTCATAGAGAAATAGGTCAATTTAAGCTAGCTAGTTGTTTTGCCTACATAAGTCTATATGTTTTTGTTTAAATAAGAGTGTCACATATTTCATGTTTGACTTTGTTTTATTTCTCTGTGCTTTTCAGGAATCTAGTGGGTCATCTTGCTTGTGCATGAACTACCGGCTAAAGACTGAAAACAGGATTGAATTTTCCAATGTTTATGCTGTAGAGTTAATTGATTGGGGCTTGATTGAGGATGCAAATAGGAATTCTGGCAGCTTTTTCTCAGGCAATAAATTTGAGGTTAGATATCAAGATCTTTCATCGATGCATCCACTTTCATTGTTGTTGTTGATAGCTGCGTAGAACTTAAACCTGATGAGGGCATTATGACTTCCTTGATGGCTAACTATCATGTTTATATTTTGTGTTATAAGTGTCCTGTTGCTTATGCAGATGTACCGTTTTGTGGTGCATGGATTCCATAGGGGTAAAACACATGGTTCTCCTTGGACACTCTGTGAATACACCTTTGGTCACAAGGATATGCATATATGCCAGTCGTGGGTTGAACGTTTGATTGCTTCTACCAGTACTGATGCTGTCAGACCAAAGTCTCTTTTGGTACTTTCCGTATTGAAATACCTTCTTGCAATTTTTTCATCAATTTTTTGTGATATCTTGTTTATTAACTTTCTGTAGTATCATTTAGGTGTTTGTTCACCCATTATGTGGGAAAGGAAATGGGGTCAATACTTGGGAGACAGTTGCGCCTATATTTTCCCATGCTAAAGTGCGGACAGAGGTAAGAAATGCTGTTATAAGTCATCAAAAAATTAGTTTCCTCTTCTGTTACTACATTGCATTACATAGGGTCATGCACTTTGTTCAGGTAACAGTGACTCAGAGGGCAGGGCATGCATTTGACTGTATATCATCCTTATCGCACAGGGAATTGAGTTCTTTTGATGGCATTGTTGCTGTGGTATGCTTCTAGCTTATCTAACATGTATTCGTTTTTTAATCTTCAGATGACTGATATCTGTTGATATTGTTTAATATTCAAGATTTGATTTTAATTTAGTCATACAGATAACTTTGTCCTTTTTATTGAAGTCTGCCTGAAAAGAGTTCGTAGAACAATATGAAATTCTGTGATTAATGTGAAACTAGCAGAAGATAATAAATCATAAAATTCATTTCTTAAACTAACAACTAAAACAAAATGGCCTTCCGGTGCAGTTTCTCAGCTATCTTTTATCCATTTACTACTGAAAGGTCACTGCAGCTCCTATCTTCTAAGAACAATATAATTTCTTGTGCTACATCTTTAAGCAGGTAGGTTATCGTGGCTTTGTTTGGTTATCTCTAACTTTTAGTTGGTAAGCTTTGTTTTGTGTTGTTTTGGTATAAAATGGTCTTTAGTTGGCTATCCTTTTTGATCAGTCATTGGTTTTTGGAACCTAATGAAGGCTTTTCTGCAATCAGTTTAGTTACCAAAATCCTTCATTTGTTTCAACTTTGCGTTGACACAATAGATTAAAGAAACAGTGGAGCTTTAAGGACTCTTGATTGCATCTATGTAGTGTACCGTGCTTAACTTTGATAGAAGGTGAACAATCTTGCCAGATGGTCACCTTTTTAAAGCAGAAATGGCCCTTCTTTTGATGGGGCTATTCTTGGTTTACCATAGCGAATGACGCATATGGATCTTAGATTTGTTCAGATATGGGGTGTTTTCATTTAGACTTGTTGCTCTCTTTTGATGTTTGAGCTATGTGATGTCAGTTAAGCTTTAAGCACATTGTGGGGAAATTCATACTGCTTCTGGAAATTTGTGATACAGTTGATTCCTTTGTTTTACCTTACTGTATATAACTGATATCTGATTCTTTCTTAATTAAACAACACTATAAATTTTGCTGTCTTCCAATGGTTAAGACTGATTTAGCAACATACATTGAGAGGCAAGTTTTTGTATGAGAAGGGTGACACCATTAGATTACCCAAATCATTATGCATTTATAAATAATTTTAATAAAGCTTCATATCATCTGTCAGTTGATACTGGACTATTACTTGGATTCTTATGGGAAGTATTTACATTATTTTCCATAATTTTGCTTGCATATGATATCAATATGCAACCAAACTGCTGTTGCAAATGGTTGCAGTCGCTGCAGAACTCTTAATGTACTGTAGTCCTGAGTCACCAAATACAGCATGAAGATGCATTGATTTTGGAACAGACTTGGACGCTCAAGATGCTAGTAACCTGAGTAAGCTCGTCATTACTACCTAAAAATGTGCAGACTCATAGTTAGTTCATGCATTCTGCAATAACCCTTAATAAGTAACTTATGGCTTTTGTTATCAAGTAAATCATTGGATGACAAAAAAGAGAAGAAAGACATTTCATGTTACTCGTATAATTATGTAATGCGTCATTTCTTTTTGTTCTCTTATTGAGTGATTTGTACGTGAATTTGGACCAGGGAGGTGATGGTCTCTTTAACGAAGTTCTGAATGGACTTCTTTCCTCGAGGCATGATGCTCCTTATCCTCCATCTCCACAAGAGTTGGATAACAAGAGTGATAAAAATTGTCAGCATTTAAATAATGACATCTCACGTGGTAGGGCCTCTCTTAATGGTGCAAATGGCATGCTTTCTGCGCCTTTATGTGGAAGTGATGACCTTGCACCTCTTCTCTCAGCTGTAGAATCCAATGGACTGGGCATCTCAAAATGCAGTATGTACCTAATGGTTTTACTTGATGCCTGAAATATTAACAAATTTAGCACCTGATGAAACACGTGGGGCACTAATAGGTTGTATGGTTTATCTTGAATGACAGCAACCAACAATGGACCATGCGATGCAGGTTAGTACATGCTGATTTAGCTCAACAAATTAAGCTAAATGTCTGCATGCTATGTATTTACTACTACAAGTTTGCTGGTTTTTTTTTACACACCCCTCTCAACATTTGATATCCAGACCTGTTTACTGTTTCAGATGAAGATGTAAAAGTTTCCTTCCCAAATGATTGGTTTAGACTTGGATTAATTCCTGCTGGTTCAACTGATGCCATTGTTATCAGGTATGTTCTGTTGTTTGTTTGAAGGATTGGTTTTCTGCATTGGTGTTACCCTCAGCAGAGCTCGATGACTGTAAAAGATTCATGAAGCTAACCCATGTTACAGGGAACTTACAGCTCTGCTTTTGCTGTTGTCCTAGTTTATCCTCTATGTACTAAGTTTCGAAATGTACTCTGCTTGACAAACCGACCAACTGAAAATGAAAAATAACAACAATTGGAAATTTTGATTGATCAGGATCAATCTGGATCTGATCCAACTATTCTCTAAAGTCTAAATGCCTCGACATCTGAAACATTAAAGAATCTGAGCTTTGACTGGAAACCCGATATGAACCACCATTGCTGTTACCACTACTAGATTAAAATCTGAACTTCCCTAACAGTACATGTACATATGCATATTTCTGTTACCAATATAACACATAACTACAATTACCGAGTCAGGTTGTAAACAGATAGGGTCAAAATCAACCTGTATTTAAGTATTAACCAATTATAAGTGGTTGGTTGGCTTGAGCATTTGGATCAGGCCATGGGCTATCACCAGATTACATTGATTTAGATTTAGACTATCGAGTTGAGTGTGATTTGTCAATAGGCCTATATTCCTATAGTTTTTCTGTGGAAATGTGGAATCTTTTTAATTGCCTCATCATGTCTGATGCTTTACATACTGCACCTATGAATATTGACATGGTACAGAAGTGCATACTTCTGTATTGTGCATGCATTTTCAAGACATTTAGTTAGATATGTGTTGTCTTAAGCACTATTGAACTTATGGGCATAATTCAGCATGTGACTGGGCTTGTGTGGCCATGGCCTGGAGCTGTGTCTTATTATTCCTCCCTATGACCAACATGGACACCTCATATGGACACATAAATCCTTGAGTAATGTGTGCTTGTAAAGTTGCAAGTACTTGGTTTATTGGCAATTTTATATTATCTATTTTACATTAATCATATTGAAGTTTGCTAATGACTTAACAAGAGTGTTAATCCCTGTTTGTAGTACTACCGGGACGCGAGATCCTGTAACATCAGCTTTGCACATTATCCTTGGCAAAAAGATGTCACTTGATATAGCTCAGGTGGTCCGATGGAAAACTAGTCCTTCATCAACAGAAGTGCCTTCTGTACGCTATGCAGCTTCTTTTGCAGGGTATGGTAACTTATTTTTAAACTCTGCAACAAGACACAAATAGGTGGAGCAGATATCAAAAACATGTATTTGGTGCAAAGTTCAAAAATATGTGCCTGAAAATCTTTCGGATAAAATCTATTTTCAAGTATGTTATTGGATGATGGAGATTTTGTTGAACATATATGATTCTATTGACTAAATGGAAAATATCTTTCAGAGGCAAGGATTGCCAACAAAAAGTTAACAACTTTGTACAGAGTGAGAAAAAAGTGATTTTTCATTAGCAAAAAGTGCAGAAAAATGGCTTGGTGGATCAAACACATGAAAAAACAAAAAAAATGATGAAATTAAAAAAACCATTTACTAGTTAGGGTGTAGGGATGGCAGTTTGTTAAGATGACCTACCAATCTGATCCGAGCCTGGCACATAGCTACCAGGTATTGGATTGGGCTTATTTGTTGTTTAATAAACAGGTTGACTCAATCAATATGATCGGTGATATATTATTTTTAGTTTAGGGTTTTAGAAATTTAGCTGGCTAGCCCAACTTGTCCTGATCACATGATTAATAGTCAGGTCATATATTAAAGGTGGTTTTCTTGATATTGTTTTAATCATGTGCTTGGTCGATCAGTTTTTATGTCAAATTAGGGTTTTGTAAGTGGACAAAATCATGTAAAAAATGGGGCTGATGTGTTTGAACATTTGTATCATGAGTACGATAAAGTTCATTGTGTATTCGGTGGGTTAAATTTGGGGTTGAATATATGTCAGTGTGTTATTAAACACCACTTTTGTGCATTAGATGAGGTTAAGAGCTATCCTTTCTCCAACCATGTTGGGTTGTTTATTGTTTATCACATATCTGATCTCTGAAAATTCTACAATGCTTTATCTTGTGCTTTTGTAAGTGATTTGACATTGTGAATACATATATCTGAACTGCCATCAGTGAGAAAACATTTCATGGAACTCCACTACTATTGTATATCTGATCATTACTTCTTTTCACATGCTCATTAGAAGATCAACAATACATTCACATGTGAAAGATGTGTGAGAAAATATCTAAGGTTCTTGTCCTTTGTTTTCATTTTCTCCTCAACCTTTCACTAACATATTTTGTTTCTAGCATGATGACATTCTTCTTTCTTATCTCTTTTGGAAGAGAGAGGAAAGAGTGGTCGATTAATTCTGCATGTTGCCTATCATAAAATTCTTGAAACAAAATGAAATCAAATACTATATAGTTTTACATCGATTTGTTTGGTTTCTTTTATAGGAGGAATTTCAAAATTCCCTATGATTGTTTTTTCCTGTAATGTACAACCTAATTAGGTTCCTTGTGAGTGCTGATTTTGTGACCTGTTGTCAGGTATGGTTTCTATGGTGATGTCATCAAGGAGAGTGAAGGCTATCGTTGGATGGGTCCTAAACGCTATGATTTTGCCGGAACGGTGGCCTTTTTGAAACACAGGTTTTCCTTAATTCTTATAAAGAACACTACTTTGTATCTTTGATCTTTTAATTTCTCAGGGAGCTATTTGATCATTGTTTTTTTTCATTTATCAAGATCTTACGAGGCAAAAGTTACATTTTTGAAGACTGAAGAACAAGAAACAAGTAACATTGCAAGCGACATACAAACTTCACAACTTTTTCAAAAGAACTCTAAGAATGTTGTTTGCCGTGCAAACTGCAGCATCTGTAATGATTTTAAAAATGCTGCTCAGTATTCTGCAGATGTAGCTGTTAGCCCAATTCATTCTCAGGATTCAAGGTGGCTAGAATACACAGGTCGTTTTCTTAGTGTTGGTGCTGCCATTATTTCATGCCGTAATGAAAGAGCGCCTAAAGGTCTGGTGGCTGAGGCACACCTTGCTGATGGTTTCCTTCATCTTATACTGATAAAAGATTGTCCGCATCCTTTATACTTGTGGTAAGTTCAAAAGAAATATTTTCCTTTTGCTTTCTTCTGGAATCTTCAAACTACTTGTGTATTTTTTCTCTTTACTTCTCTCTCTCTCTCTCTCCCCCTCTTCCCCCTCTGAGAAGTACAAGCCACTTAAGTTCATGATTCCGCTTTTATATTACTATGAATTATACAGTGTATATTTTTACTATTTAAAATGCTTTAATTACACGTAATATGCTCCTGTTCTTTGTTCTTTCTTAAATGCCTAATAGATGCATGTATTTCTTTATAAGTCCTACTTGCTGCTGGAGGAAAAAGAAAAGAATTAGAATGCTCTGTTTACTTGGTTCCATCAAAGTCAGAATCCTTTTCTTCATGTACACACACAAATATAAAAAGATCAGGAAGGATAGTGCACTAGGTCAATCTTACATAATAATATGAAAGTACTTGGGGTACATTAATTGTAGGCCATTGATGTACTTTGAGAATACATGACATGGTTTAGTTCATTAACACATTCAATTATATCATTTGAAGATTTGCAACTTCTGTTTCTTTCTACAAGTGTATATACCCAAAAACTAGTACATCTTAATCAGTTTTGCACCTCTACATTCCTTGTCTAGAGATCTGATAAATCATAAGCTTTCATGGACATCTCTAGAAAGTTTAGCTTTCACACATGGATTGTTTAGTTTGTAAATAACAATAAGTTATTGACATCTGAAATTGACAAGCAAGTGTTTGATTAGAATTCCCCCCTTGATGTAAGTAGTTAGTAGTAAAATCAGATTTTTAAATATGCTTTATCTTTATGTTTCACACATTCTAAAACTTGTCTTGTGGGAGATCTGGAATTATTATTGTAACGAATACTAAATAAGATTTCTTATTTTATTTTATTCCTAAAATAAGATTTATAAATATGCTAGTTCTTTATCTTATCATTAACAATCAGAGTTTGAAATATGCTACTTCTTGCCTGTGATGAGCCATTGCCCCTTTCAAATTTGTGATCCTAAGCAGTCTAGGCTGCTTTGTAAAAAGGCCGGGTTTTGGTTCCTACTGCACCCATTATGTTCATCCTCCAGGTAATTTTGAATTAGGCTATTCTGGCTTAACTTACTGTAGTTCATATCGACCAAGGTTTACAATTCTCCGAAAAAGGCCAAATAGCTATTTTATCATGTGTAGATTGTGGGATGATAGATTCAAGTAGCTTCGCAGGCCAAATAGCTGTTTCATCATGTGTTGATTGTGGGATGATAGATTCAAGTAGCCTGATGTTCACATACATATTAGACAGCCAAAACACATGCAATAATATAATTCTCATTAAGTTAATGAATGACATGATCTCAAATTAATTTGTGTTATGCTCTTTCTAGCAGTCCAGTCCAAACGAGATTCTGGCTTCTGGAATCAGATAATAATAGTATATCCTTCTTTACTGATGATCCATAGGTGATACTAACCAATGAATCACTCACTGCAGGCATCTTATAAATCTTAAAAGGGGCTCTAATCCTTTTGACTTTACATTTGTGGAACACCACAAGGTATGTGTAAACTTGTTAGCCTTTCCCCCGCTTTTTGTCGCTTATATTGATCTGTCGTACTAATATCTGTTTGCTTTGCAGACACCTGCTTTTACCTTTGTTTCAGCTCATAATGAAAGTGTGTGGAATGTGGATGGGGAGATTCTCCAAGCATGCCAAGTCTCTGTACAAGTATGTAGGGGCCTAATCAACTTGTTTGCATCAGGACCTGAAGTTTAGTATACATAAATTATGAAGGTCATATAAATTCCCAATAAATACAAATGGTCTGAAGTTTAGTATATATAAATTATGTTGGCCTGAATTCCCAACAACAGACATCAAGGAGAACAATATGAAGAGGAATAAATCTTATGCTTGTCCATTACAAAACACAAGGGCTAGGATTAGTAGTAGTTTAAGTTATACGACACTGGAACCCCTGTCTTTCTTCCATTTCGTACCTTAATTAACATGGAGCTTTACTATTTGTCATACTTTGTTGGCAAAAAATCTCAGGACAGAATAGTGTTGGTTGGTGAAGCCTCTTATTTGGGAGTATCAATGAGTATTTTCCCACATTACCTTCAGGGTTGATTTGATGTATAATCATCAGATGACTGTAAATACACGTGCAACGATTGTAGATGTTGATGCTGGAATATTGTTGAGCACTGCAAATTAATTGATGCATAATCCTCTTTTTCTTCAATCTTTTCTGATAGAATGTGTTTTTTCTGATATATATTAGAAACATTATTAATATTTTTTCTTTTTTTATGCAAAATACCCTCATATTATTTTCTTTTTTTATCGAAAGAAATAATATAATGTTTCGTCAAAACCATTAAAGTATCTAGCTCTTTTGAAAGCATGCATAAGTCATCATCTTATTTACCGGTACTGATGTATCGATCGATCGATTTGGTATGTATCAAATCGCACCAACATATGGTACAATGAGATATTGATAAATCGATATATACTACTTGTATCGATCCCTTATTAGACCAACACATACCACCCATACTGAATGGTATATTAAGTTATGGTACGACAAACTTTGCTTGAAAGACATAATAACATGCATGATATACAAACCTGTTTCCATGGCCAACTTAGTGTTCTTAGCCCATGCAACTTTTTGACCTTTATTTGATCTATGATCTTCTAGTTCTTACCATTTGATCGGATGTTTGTGACTATACACAAACACAAGCTCCATGTTTCAACTGCAATAGGGCTTTGATGGTAAGGGCTGCCTGCAATCATTTCTGGATTAACTATTAACATGAAGATCATGAAAGCAACATGTCGAGATCTGTCCAAATCAAGTTACCTAAAATGACAAAGCTTGCTCATCTTAGTTCTTTGCAGTAATTGCATGAGAATTATCCAATAAGCAGTGGACTAAGTACATATACTACGACGCTGCTATAACCGAGGCTTAAACAGTATTAACCGTGTCGGCTAACGAGCGAAGTATACATCCCAACCCTGCTTTCTCCGTCAGCTTTTCATGAATCTTCAGGCACTGGTCACACGTCGGTCTATCTCCAGTTGCCAAGCCTCTATACAGGTACCTACATGTTCAGCTATGTAAATTGTAAAAACAAATGGCAAAAGGAAACACATATCTCAATCAAAACAGAAACAATGGTATTAGAGTTTGCCATGACAAGCTCAAGCGGTAGGACTGGCTAAATTTCATGGCTTCAATGCAAGAACTAAGGCACCTCTGTGAATTTTGTTTGGTGCTAAAATTGACAATTATCATTTATTCGATTTAAAGATAACAAAGAAATGGAGCGACTAAATCACCAAATTTTATGACTGGAGACCAAAACCACCAAATATGATTGATTCCAACGGTAAGGAGTATCAAATAACTGATGCTGCCATAATGTGAATCATTAAACCTTTAAAATAAGAGGCAACAAATTGTTGCCACTAACCCCCAAAAGCTCATTGCATATTCCGCCAAAATGGCCCCATAGTCTACTATCGTAAAGGTTAATGCACTTTGCATCGATCTTTGTAAGTCGGTCATGAAAAAATAACCTATATGGTATGCAGTACCAAATGGTATCACCCGGTACATATCGATCCGACAACATACCGGTACGCGGACTGCCCGGTACCGGACGGAACGTACTACAGTGCTACAGTAAGGAAGAAAATATATAAAACTGTTCGGTATGCCCTGGTATACTGCTCGGTACGCCGGTACCGTACCGTACCGAGCCAACCTCGAAACACCGATACGATACGGTATTGCATACCTTGAGTATAAGTATAGGTCCTCCCTGTAACATTCCCTCAAACCATAATATTTGCTGGATCTAACCTACTGGCCAAGTTACAGCCGTAAAAGAAACTACCAAATTGGTTCCGTATACTAAATCCATAGTTTCAAATCAACCCATGCACATTTCGATTTGCAGCACATGATATTTTAGGTAAATTTGTAAAGCTAACTTGTTAATATGCATAAATATTATTTGAGACAGCATACCATTAGAACTAATGGATGTTCTATCTAAAGAGAACTAGGTTATTCTACCAGATTGGTAAAAGCGTTTTGAGATACTATTTCAATCTATTTAGTATTAACTCATCAGTATATATGCTTCAGAAATTCTATAGAAATATCAATGAAAACCATCAGGTTGATCTCTAAATAACCTAAAGAACCCAACCGGAAATTACAATCATCTAAAGAACCTCAAGTAGTGAAGCAACACATGTTTTAAAAGATAAACTTAATCATAAATCTAATTGCATTGAAGTTGTACTAGATTTTTCTTTTTCTTTCATCTACAATGGTGGATGGTCTATGCATTATGCAATTATTCAGTGTGTTGTATATAAGAACTGCACGTACTATTTGTACTGGAAACTTTTGCTGTATTTTTAGTTGAAGCATGTTGCTTTACACACAATTGGAATTAACATTTTGCCACACTTAAATTATCAATGTTAATTGAGATATTGACAACATGGGGAATTAATATAAAATATGTGCATCATAAAGCAATTGCAGTCACAAGCTTCTTGATCCAAAAAACTTTAGCAAACTATTATTTCTACTTGGTAATCTAATTATACAATCTCTAGTTTATGTCAAAGTTTATCTGATGAAAATTAGATTGACCATTTATTAACGAATTGACATTCACCCAACAAATGTGCTGTTTCCGATGAAGAGTAGAAAAGACCAACAATTAGTTCTAGTAAAAGACAACCTTTTAACTAAATAATTCTAATATACTTTTCTTACTTCATCAACAAAAAAGAAACAGATACTGCAAAATGTTGGAGATAAAGGACTTTTCCCATTCACGATAACCAAACCAGTAAGTTAAGAACAGGCACTGCAGTATTCATGGTTAAAAAATGAAACAAAAAGAAAAATGCAGCACCTACTATCTTAATCCTGTGGAAAGCCATTGATTGAAGTGGTCATGTGGATTTGCACCGAGGGTTCCTAATGCTAAAATTTTAACAGTAATGTATTAGTCGAATTAACGACAAGCATTGAAAGATTATTAAAGAACTCTTTATCACATAAAGTGGTTTGCTTTAGTTTAGTGTCACTTCCAAGCAGCTCAAAATGTAGAACTTCCATTCGGCCTCAACTCGGTATTAGCTTATTCTGATTTTACCACTACCTTCTGCAAATAGATTGTGAACATTGCACATTTTTCCTTCAAAGTGGATTTTCTGATTGGTCATAGTATCCTAAACATTATAAAGGATGACCAAAGAAACATACAAATTGCGGATATTATGAAAGAAACATTTTCAGAAAATTTTACAAAATGTTATTAGAACATCAAATCCATGAGATTTTCATGACAACTAACATCGCAGAAAAAGAGCACAAATATCATATAACTCGAAAAGGATGAATCTTACTTCATGAGTGTGTCATAGTACTCTGGATCCAAAGAAGAGAACATAGCATCCACATCCTTTATGGCCATGATCGCCCGGTGCACCACTATCCAAATCGCTGACTACAGCACACAAACAAAACAATCCCAAAACATTAGAACTCTCCACCTAAGAATTGAACATCTCGCGTCCAAATAGGTGGTAGTGGGGCGGAATCCGATCCCAATCAACCTTGCACCTCTCATCTCTGGTCTTCAAGGGCGAACCCTCCAACGCCGTCTTCAGCGCCTCCACCGGCTTGGATCTGCGATTAGGTATTCAACGTTACGGCCTACTGTAGATTCGGATGGCACTGGGGCTAGGGTTTCGATTCCGACTCACTGCTTGAGCAAGCTCTCGATCTTGCGGGACTTCTGCTCGATTCTGGTGACGATAGCCTCGAGGTTCTCGTCGTCCACGAAACCCTCCGTCGCCATTGGTAGCCGGCTACGTCAGGCGGCGTCTCCGCCTCTGTTGCGCCGCCAATTTTGGAGCTGTCAGAAGAGAACTTATCGGCCGAGCTGATGACTCGTTCGCTCGCTCGCGTCCGCCGTACGTGAAGTGCCGAGTTAACACTTGTTTTGCATCCGGCCCAGTCCATGTAAAGGATTCCTAATCGGGTACCCAACCATTTCGGAATCGGGTCGGATCCCGCGTTCGCATCCGGGTCGGGTGTAGAAGATCCGTATGGACCGAGTATCGGATTTATTGTCGGCCCGAATGTTTTAAAATCGTGAAAGCAAATGATAAGAACAGCATAATATTCGATAATTCATGATTTATATCAATAATATGTGGTTAATGATAAGATCTGTATAGATTACTGTATGATGTACACATGATGTAAGGAAAAGACAGTAATGCCACGACTTGTATGTTTGCCAAATCAATATCAGCATATAAGACATCTCATGCGAGTTATAGAAATATGCCCATGGAAATGACTCCTTATTGCAACATAAATATACTGCAGAAGATAAATATACAGGCACTTGGCATGACCAATTAATTACCAACATTCAACTATTTGCTATTGGGAGGGGGAAGGGCTCAACTGCTGCGATCATGAGAAGAGGCAATTTACACTGTTTTCTAAAATCAATAAATTAATCTTGCACTGTTCGATACTACAATTTGATACAAGATTTCAGATGCCTCAAGAAGACGTACAAAATTCTTCTGAGATCCCCCCAAAAAAAAAACAGAAAGAAAAGAAACAGGACGGAAAACAAAGATGGACAGCTTTGACTTTTCCGGTCATTCTGGGTCCTCTCATAAGTATTGCCGAAGGCTTTCGCCACTGAGGGTCTCCATCTCCTTTAGGATCTCTTGAGCCAGTGTTTTAACAGGAAGCTCGGCATCCTCAAGTAGCTCGCCCAGAAACGGGATGGTCTCAGGTAGGAACACTAGATATTCTTCTTTCAAGTGTTCTACTAGATACTTGACAATCTTAAGGCCTAGAATTTTTGGACGAATCTTCTCGCTTCTTGTCTGCATCAGGACCTGTACAAACAAAATTTGTCAAAGCTGACTACATTTGTTGCAAAGAGCATATGAGAAACCAGTATAAATTGATATTTGATGCAGACAAGAATAAGCTGGATGATTCACCAAACAAAATTATACTTCTTTGACATCTCTTATAGATCTTAGAAGAACTCCAAATATTTGCATTTTCTAGTATGTCGCTTGCTATAAGCATGAGACTAAGTGCAAACATAAATCTGT